GTGGCTGAAAAAGTTTATAACCATCGGGAAACTCCAGAGGAGAGACAAGCTTGAGCTACCATGGAAGTGGGGGCAAAGCAGACTCATCAACTTGCCAAGATTCTCTTGGCCTCCACTATAAAATTACCAGGAGACTGGGCACATCAACTATGCCGGTTGACAGCTGACCCAGGTAAGAGAGGGCCCACAGGGGGATGCCCTAGGCTACAGAAAAACCAGTGTGCTTACTGTAAGAAGCTAGGCCACTGGATCAAAGAGTGTCCTAAGAAGCTGCCTACAAAGCAAGATGATGGTAGGGGCCAAACCCAAGTCCTGGAATTAGAGGAACTAGACAACTAGTGGGGACAGGGTCAGACCCCCTCCCTGAACCTAGGGTAACTCTTAAAGTGGAGGGGACACCTGTAAGTTTTCTCATGGATACGGGCACTCAACACTCGGTCTTGACGTGGCCACAAGGAAAGCTATCACAAAAAAAGTCTTGGGTGCAGGGGGCAACCAGTATGAACCAATACCCATGGACTACCCGAAGAATGGTGGAACTGGGCACAGGCCAGGTATCCCACTCATTTATGGTCATACCAGAATGCCCCTCTCCACTCTTAGGAAGGGACTTGCTTACTAAAATAGGAGCCTATATCTACTTTGACTCAGGAGAAACTCAAGTAACTAATAGGGAGGGACGACCCATCCATGTGTTGACCCTCCACTTAGAAGATGAATACAGGTTACATCCAAGATCTACTCCCCTGTCAGGAGTAGAAATGTCTGAATGGCTGCAGAAGCATCCAACTGTGTGGGCTGAAACTGGAGGCATGGGGTTTGCAGCCCATCACACTCCCATATGGGTAGAATTAAAGCCTGGGGCTTCACCGGCTAGGGTCAAACAGTACCCAATGTCCCTTGAAGCCCAGAAAGGGATCACCCCTCACATCCAATGCCTCCGAAAACAAGGTATTCTAATACCTTGCCATTCCGCATGGAACACTCCCTTAATTACCTGTAAAAAAGCCCAACTCCAATGACTACCGGCCAGTTCAAGACTTAAGAGAAGTCAACAAGTGGGTCATGGACATACACCCCACAGTGCCTAACCCTTATACGCTCCTGAGCTCTTTGTCCCCCTCCAGAACTTGGTATGCAGTCTTAGATTTAAAAAATGCCTTCTTCAGCCTCCCCTTAGCGGAACTGAGCCAGCCACTCTTTGCTTTTGAGTGGCAAGACCAGGAAAAAGGATTCAACGGACAACTCACCTGGACCAGATTGCCCCAAGTGTTCAAAAACTCACCAACCATCTTTGATAAAGCCTTTCATGAAGACTTGAGTGAGTATCGGGTAGAACACCCCCAACTCACCTTGTTACAATATGTTGATGATATCCTGATAGCTACAGACAGCCTCTCGGAATGCAGACAAGGGACTGAGAACTTATTGACCATCCTAGGAGACCTCGGCTACCGAGTCTCCAGAAGAAAAGCCCAGATATGTGAAAAGGAGGTAATCTACTTGGGCTACATTCTTAAAGATGGACAGAGATGGCTCACAGAGGCCAGGAAAGAGACAGTGCTTAAGATACCCACCCCTACTCCTAGAAGGGCAGTCTGAGAGTTTCTAGGAATAGCTGGCTTCTGCCGCCTCTGGGTGCCCAATTTTGCAGAGCTGGCCCAACCTCTATATGAGGTTACCAGAGAAAGTGAGCTTTTCACATGGACCGAAGACCAAGAGAAGGCCTTCGCCAAAATAAAGCAGGCCCTGCTGTCGGCCCCCACCCTAGGACTTCTTAATATCACCAAACCGTTTCATCTCTTCGTGGATGAAAGAAAAGGCATAGAGGGTACTAACTCAGACTTTAGGGCCCTGGAGTAGACCAGTGGCATACTTCTCCAAGAAATTGGATCCGGTGGCTACTGGCTGGCCTCCTTGCCTGCGAATTATTGCGATGACTGCCCTATTAGTCAAGGATGCGGATAAATTAACATGGGGACAAATTATTTGTCACCACCCCTCATACTATAGAGGGGATCTTAAGACAGCCACCCGACAGATGGATAAGTAATGCCCGAATGACCCATTATGAAAGCTTGCTTCTCAATCCTCCATGTGTCCGCTTCCTCCTGAGTATGACTCTCAATCCGGCCACCTTGCTGCCCGACCCAGACCTGGAAGCTCCCTTACATGATTGTGCGGGGATCCTGAGTCAACCTCACGGGCTCAGAAAAGACCTGACTGACCAACCGCTCTCGACGCTGAGATCACTTGGTTCACAGATGGCAGCAGCTTCATTCGGGATGGACAAAGGTATGCAGGGGCAGCAGTGGTGACAGAGTCTGAAATAATTTGGGCAGCCACTCTCACTGCGGGAACGTCAGCCCAAAGGGCAGAACTGCTAGCCCTAACCAAGGCCATAAAACTGGGTAAAGACAGAAAGCTCAATGTATACACTGATAGCCGATATGCTTTTGCCATGGCACATGCTCATGGGGCCATATACCAAGAGAGAGGGTTACTCACGGCAGAAGGAAAAACCATTAAAAATAAACAGGAGATCCTGGATCTGCTGGCCGCCTTACGACTGCCAAAAAAATTGGCCATTATTCATTGCCCTGGGCACCAAAAAGCAGAAATGCCCATAACCCGTGGCAACCAGAAGGCAGACCAGGCAGCTAGAGAGGTGGCTTTACAAGCCATCACCGTCCTGACCATTCAGCTACCCGACCCAGGAACACCAACACTGCCAGATCGGCCCCACTATTCACAAGAGGATTTGAGGTCAATACAGGTGCTACCTGAGACCAAAAAAATTGACAATTGGTGGTATACAGGAGACCACAAGATAATTTTGTCTGGTGACCTAGCTGAAAACCTCCTCCACCACATCCATCAAACCACACATTTGGGGACTCGGAAGACAGAAGACCTCCTAGGGAACGCCCACCTAAAAGTGTTCAACCTTAGGCCACTCAATAATTCGATTGTTGCCAAATGCCTTAGTTGCAGGCTAACTAACGTGAAAAATGCACCTAAGGGACAGGGGACTCGGCTAAGAGGCTCCAAACCAGGAGCCCATTGGGAAATGGATTTCACGGAAATAAAACCTGACAAATATGGCTATAAATACCTCCTAGTTTTGGTAGATACTTTTTCAGGATGCATGGAGGCATTCCCCACCAAACATGAGATTGCACAAACAGTCATCAAAAAGCTGCTGGAGGACATCCTACCAAGATATGGTATGCCAGCACTCCTGAGCTCTGACAATGGACCAGCCTTTGCTTCTCAGGTAACTCAAGAGTTTGACAGGATATTGGGGGCAAAATGAAAATTACACTGTACATATAGACCCCAGAGTTCTGGGCAAGTAAAAAAAATAAATAAGACCCTAAAAGAGACCCTTACCAAATTAACCATGGAGACTGGCAGGGACTGGGTGGCTCTCCTCCCCTTTGCCTTATATCGGGTGTGGAATTCACCCTATCAGTTAGGATTAACCCCTTATGAAATCATGTTTGAGAGACCTCCTCCCATCTTACCTAATCTAAAGGCCGAGATGATTGCTGAATTTGATAACGGACAATTGCTTGATTCCCTAGAAGCCGTAGCACATGCTCACAAGGACGTTTGGCCTCGTTTAAAGGCCATCTACAAGGCTGCGCCTCCTCTTACCCTGCATAACTACCAACCGGGAGATTGGGTCTACGTGTGCAGACACCACCAAAAAAATCTTGAACCATGCTGGAAAGAACCATACATCATACTCCTGACCATGCCGACGGCTGTTAAAGTTGACGGGATCACCACCTGGATTCATCACACCCACATCCAGCTCGCAGATCCCCACAATTGACTGGAGGACTACGCTTCACAATGGAGAATCGACAAAGATACAAACAATCCCCTCAAACTGAAGCTGCGCCGTTCTTGATAGTCATCTTAACACTCATTACAACTGTATGTACTGCCCCCATCAATCCTCATCAACCCCTTAACCTTACCTGGCTGGTCACAGAAACTTCCATGGGAAAAATCCTGGTCCGAGCTTCAAAAACAACACCCCTCAATAACTGGTTCCCGGAATTGGGTTTTGACCTACATGCCTTACTCCCTGACCACAGTCATTGGGAGCTGCATCATAATTACTTTTATGTTTGACCCCAGAAGAGGGGATGACAAGGGTTGGAGGAAACAATGTGGGGAACCCAATGATTATTTTTGTTATTCCTGGGGTTGTGTGAGCACAGGAGACATTTACTGGACACCTCCAGTAAAGGGGGATCTCATTAGTGTTGTCCGGAATAACACACCCAAGGCCCTTTTTCGGGGCCAAAGAGTTAAAACATGTCCCACCAAAAATAGCTGTAACCCTATCAAGATAGTCTTTACCAGCCAGGGTATGCAGGATACAACCTGGGAAACAGGAAAGACTTGGGGGCTAAGACTCTATAACCATAACCATCCAGGGGGGTTTTTCACCATCGTCTTGCAAAAAAAAGTTCCCAACTCCCCAAAACCCAGCCATGTCTTAATTCCACTGGTGATACCTAAACCGGCTACAGCTCCCCCGATGGCACCTGAGTCTGCAACAACAGTTCAGGAACGACACTCCCCAGGCACATACTCCCCGACCGAGAACCTTCCCTTCTCCAGATAGCCTATCTGGGAATTAATGACCAAAACTTTTGAAGTACTTAATACCTCCCAACCTAACCTAACAAAAGAATGTTGGCTTTGTCTGAATGCCCAGCCCCCATTTTATATTGGAGTAGCCATAATAAGAAATCACACTCGAGTCAACCTGACTCAATGCTTCTGGGGACTAAGTGGTAAGCTTTCTCTCCAACAAGTGACAGGAACAGGGACTTGTGTTCGGTCTCCCAAAGCCCAGCTCCCTATAGGGATTTGTAATCAAACTATTAATATTTCAAATAACACTTACTATTCAGCTACCTCTGGATGGTGGGCCTGTCCACGGGACGGTCCTCAACAAAGGTAACGGCTACTGCATTATGGTACAGCTGTTCCCCAGGATAACTTACTATGAAAAAACCCAGATGGAGCTGGCCTTTTCCCCCATTCCCTCTTCCAGAACCAAGAGAGCCATAGGGACGTCAGCAATCTTACTGTCCTCGTTGGTTGGCCTAGAAATACCTGGGGCGACTGGGGTCGGTACTTCTGCCTTGATTTTACAGGACAAAAATTATAGGGCTCTCCAAGTAGCCATCGATTCTGATCTCAAAAATTTAGAACAGTCCATCACTAAGTTAGAGGAGTCCCTAAACTCTTTAACAGAAGTTACTTTACAAAACAGAAGAGGCCTAGACCTCCTCTTCAAGCAACAAGGAGGCCTATGTACAGCTCTAGGGAAAGAATGCTGTTTCTATGTTAACCACTCAGGTGTTATTAGAGATTCTATGGCGCTGCTTAGGAAAAGGATTAAGGACAGAGAGCCTAAGGACACAGGATGGTATAAACAATTGTTCAATTGGTCCCCATGGCTCACCACCTTACTCTCAGCCCTGGCCGGGCCTGTAATCCTCCTCCTATTAATGTTGACTATAGGGCCATACATAATTAACCGGCTGCTAACTTTTGTCAGAGAACAGGTAAATACAGTTCAACTTATGGTGTTAAGATCTCAATATCAACTGCTATATACTATAACCTCTACCCCCTTCTCAGACCCATGATTGGGCCTAAAGAATTTACTATAAGAAGGGGGGAGATGTTAGGCCCCAGTTGAAAAATAACAGGGACTTCGTCATTTCAGGCTCAGGCTCTTTCTTTCTTAAAACTGACCTGAGCACGACCTCATCCCTGAAATGCACCATAACCTGAGTATGAACCCTCCTCTGGAATGCACCATCTCAGCCCTGATCCAATCATAATTGAGCAGAGCAGGCCTTTGCTCAAGGTGACCAAATAAGGGATAACTTTGGCCACGTTCCTCATGGCCAGGACACAGTTGGAGTAAACCAATCCCAATATGCCAAGACCCCCTTGCCTGAATGACGTCCAATCGGTTCCCCCCCAGGATGGGAAGTCCTGCCTCTTGCCCTTCCCCAATAAAAACCCTGCCAGGGTGAGGCTCGGGGCTCTCTGTGCAGATCCGCTGTGTCGGTGAGGTCGGAGAGCCCAAGCTTAAGCCCGAATAAAGGCTCTTTGTTTTTACATGCGACTTCGGACTCCTGAGTGGTCTTTTGGGGTCTCACGATCTGGGTACAACAAAACCTATACAAGATTCTGAAAGAGGAAGCCTCAGCTGATGGTAAGCATGGTCTGTGCACTAGGCCAAGGAAGGTAGGTTAAGGAGATAAGAAAGGCCCAGCAAGAGTTAGCATGGCTGTGCCCCAAGGAATATGACAGTGCCCAGCAGGATAATGCCTCTCTTGACCTTTACTTTCATATTTCAGGAATGAGAAGTAGCAAAATATCATGCAAGAGCTGATGAATATGAGGTCACCAATCCTTGAACTAGGCTGGGAACCTATAACTTTTCATGTGAGTATAGAACTGTAGAAGACATAAACCAGCGAATACCTGAGTTTCCAGTGATTTACCCCAGAATCATGTAGATACCACCCAGTTTCCTTATGAGTCTCTACTTCTTCACTTCTCTCATTCCCTACTCTAATGTGTAACCTTAATAGGTGCTTCAGGACCTAGACTTCCTTGCTGTAGTGCATACCTAACGCTGGGCATTCCAGTCACAAAACTCTAACAACTTGGCCACAGAAACGGATACAAAGGGTGACCACATGACCTAAGTAAATGTAACCAAAGTCCCTGACTGTCTTTGTTTTCAGATGACACAATTATCTTTGTAAAAAATGTCCAACTGATTTTACAAAACAGCTACTAAAACTAATGTGTGAACTTAGGAAGGATGCAGTGTACAAGAGTGATCTGTAAAAAATATCAATTTTATTTCTATATACATGCAAACAATTAGAAATTAAATTTTTAAAATACTATTTATAATGGTATCAAAAAAGGGACTGCCGGCTGCTGGTGATTCATGCTTATAATCCCAGCTACTCAGGAGGCAGAGATCAGGAGGATTTCATCTGCAAAGTTCTTCTCTAAAATTGAAGGAGAAATAAAGACATTCTATGATAAGCATATATAAAAGAAATTTATGATCACTAAGCCAGCACTGCAGAAGATACTTAAAGGATTATTACATAAAAAAGAGGAAGAAGGATATACACAAGCATGTGAGTTCAGTAAAAAAAAAATAAACCTCACTAGAAGAATTATGAAAGAAACAAATCCTATTAAGTCAGTAAACCACTGAACCTCCAAGATGAATAACTGAGAAATTAACACCTACCTATTGATAATAATCCTAAATATAAATGGTTTTACCTCTCTAATTAAAAGAGACAAACTGGCTAAATGGATTTTTAAAACATCCATCTGATAACTGTCTGCACAAAACTCACCATACTGCAAAGACCCACACAGTCTGAAAGTGAAAGGAAGGAAAATGATATGCCAAGTAAATGGAATCTGAAAGCAAACAGGAGTAGCTATATTCAGTTCTGAAAAAGCAGACATCAAGCCAAAATTAGACAGAAGGGATAAAGAATGTCACTAAATATTGATACACAGAATGCTCCATCAAGAAGATGTAATAATCATAAATACACATACATCAAGCATTGGCATACCCAATTTCATAAAAGAAACACTACTAGACATAAAAGGATAGGTCCACATACAATAATACTGGGTGACTTCAATATCCACTCTTATCTATACACAGATCATCCAGACCAAACAAAAGAAAAAAAATTCAGAGTTAAACTATAGTATAGATCAAATGGCCTTGACAAACATCTACAGAATATTACATCCAAAAAGCTACAAATACACATTCTTCTCAGCAGACAATGGAACTTTCTCTAACATACGTCACATTTTAGGCCATAAAGCAAGTCTTAACATATATAAAATTGAAATAATTTCTTGTATCTTATCAGATCATAATAGAATAAAATTAAAAATGAATATCCAGAGATATTGGATATTTTGGATGTGAGAGGCACTTTAGAAAGAGATATGCAAAAAGGGCATGAGAAACAGTAAGTTTCTCACAAAAATAACAAGCCTCTAAACCAAAATAAAATGCAGCCACAAGATGTGGGCCCCAAGGCCAGGGCGAGTTGACCAGACCTTGTTGGAATGCTCAGTTCAATAAAGAGAGACAGACAGGTGAATGAGTTCAGCGAGAAGTTGACTCAGTGACAACCAATCACAAATATAGTTTCAAGGTACAACAGTTAGACCTAAGTCAGTTAATGCCCTATTTCATCTCCTAGACTTCAGTCAGTGTTTGGCTTAGTTCTTTTACTAAGTCCCAGCCGTCAGGGTGTTTTGCTATCCTTTCAATAAATTTTAGCAAATTTTAGCTTGCTTTACTCGTAACTCCTGGTCTCAGTGTGAACTTGCTTTAACTCCTAACTACTTGTCCAGCACCTTCATTCATCAACTGCACCAGGACACGAACCCAGGGAACAACAATCCAGTCTGGTGGTATTCTTATCCAAACTAGGGTAGGTAAACAGCTACACAGTATCAGTAAAGATGGTAAACTAACTTTCATACAGACTTACACTTAACAGTCTAAGTATTACTACATGGTTTTCGGCATTTACCAAGTTGCCAAAGTCCAAACAAATCTATGACTAGGAAAGTTACATAAATCCTCCTGGACAACAATAATTAACAGTCAACTTCTGGATTTTATGGCGAGTTTTTTTATTATTCCAGTTATCATTGTATGTCGGATATGAACAATTAGAGATGGATATAATACTGGAAAGTTTTCTATTTTTTGGCAGTACTGTGTTTGAACTTAGAGTCTAACTGTTGCTACACAGGCGCTCTACCATTTGAGCCATACCCAAGTCCTTTTTTGCTTTATTTTTCACGCAAACTCTGCCATTTTTGCCATCTGGCCTCCTAACCTATAGCTTCTGACATATGTGAATATATATATGAAGCACAAACCACCACACTCAGCTTATTGGTTGAGAGGGGTCCCACTTTTTGCCAAGGCTAGCCTTAAACCCCAATCCTCCTGATCTCCACATATAGAAAACTAAACCCAGATCCCTGTCTTTCACCAAGTACTAATAACAATTCAAAGTGAATCAAAGATCTTAATGTACAACACGAAACTCTGAGCCTACTACAGGAAAGACTAGGGAAAACACTAGAACACACAGATAGGCAATAACTTCCTGAATAGAACTCCAATAGCTCAGCAAGTAAGAGAAAGGATTGACAAACAGGACTGCAACAAACTAAAAAGCTTCTTCGCAGCAAAGGAAACTGTCACTAGACTAAAGAGAACCAACAGAATGGGAGACAATCTGCCAGTTATACATCTGACAAGGGATTAATAATCAGAGCATACAAGGAGCTCAAAAAACTAAACTCCCAAAGAATCAGCAAGCCAATTAATAAATGGGCAAAGTAACTGAACAGACAAGTCTCAAAAGAACAAGTACAAACGGCCAATAAATACATAAAGAAATGTTCAGCATCCCTGGCCATAAAGGAAATGCAGATCAAAGCAACATTGGGACTTTACCTCACTCCAGTCAGAATGGCTATCATCAAGAACAAAAACACAAATACCAAATGTTTGCCAGGATGCCAGGGGAGGAGGACAGGAAAGAACTCATACACACTGTTGGCAGAAATGTAAATTAGTATACCACTATGGAAAGCAGTATGGAGGTTCCTCAAAGAACGAAAACTAGAACTACAATATGATACAGCAATACCACTCCTGGGCACACATCTGAAGGAACGTAAGTCAGGATACAATAGAGACAGCTGCGCACCCATGTTTATTGCAGCACTATTCACAATAGCCAAGCTATGAAAACAGCCCAGATGCCCTACAACTGAAGAAAAGATTTTTTGTCTCTTTTTTTTTATTTCCTTTATTCATATGTGCATACAATGATTGGGTCATTTCTTCCCCCTTCCCCCCACCCCCTCCCTTTCCCCCTACTCTCTTACTCTCCCCCTCAACCCCTGGCTTCCAAGCAGATACTGTTTTGCCCTTATCTCTAATTTTGTTGAAGAGGGAGTATAAACATTAATAAGGAGGACCAGGGGTTTTTGCTAGTTGAGGTAAGGATAGCTATACAGGGAGATTCCTAGTTTTGCTTCCATGTACATATGTGTTACTTTCTAAATTGATTCTTCTCCAACTAACCTAAGAAAAGATTTTTAAAATGTAGTATATCTACACAATGGAGTATTATTCAGCCATAAAGAAGAATGGAAATATGTCATTTGCATATAAATGGATGGAACTGGAGATCACATTAAGCAAAGTAAGTCAGGTTCAGAAAGACAAGGGTCCCATGTTTTCTTTCATATGTGGAAGCTAGATCTAAAAGATAAATGTATACATAAATACATTATCTCATTTATATATATATATACATATTTTAAATATGTATTTTTAAATATGTATATATATAAAATGTTTGCAATAGTGAGACTGTTTGAGAGGATTAGAGGGAGATGGGAGAGGAAAAAAGAATGTTAAAGAGTGAATAAATGAAAAATACATTACATCTATGTATAAAGGTGGTATAGCTGTTGAAAAATAGAGGAGGTAGGAAAGGGAAAAAATAGTTATAGAGAGGGTTAATATGATTAAAGTAAAATGTATTCATGTGTGAAATACCACTGTGAATCCTCTTTGAACATTTTTTTTTAAAAATGGAGGACAGGAATATAAAACAGGTCTCGTTTGGCAGGTTGCTAGTGCAAGGAGAGGGGGAATGGAGACAGCAAAGGAGGGTGAATATGGTTGTTGTTCTTAATATACTTGTATGAAAATAAGACCTGGGCTGGTGGAGTGACTCAGGTGGTAGAGTGCCTGCCTAGCAAGTGTGAGGTCCTGAGTTCAAGCCCCAGTAACACCAACAAAAAAAAAAAGAAGAAGGGAGGGGAGTGAGGGAGAATGATGGAGGGTGGTGAATCTAATTTAGGTACATTATAAGCATATATGGAAATGTCACAACAAAATCCCCCTGTACAACTAATACATGCTAATAAAATGTTTTTAAAATAAGTAAGGGCTGGTGGAATGGCTCAAGTGGTAGAACACCTACCTAGCAAGGTGAGATGGGTGAGTTCAAGCCTCAGTACCACCAATAAATAAATATACTACACTACTACACACATATGTACATATTAGAATAATGTGTATACCCATATATATAGGTATTATATACAGGTATTAGGTGTACATATATATGTATATATAGGTATTATATTATGTATATATACAAAAGTCTACAAATATTCAGAGCTGTAACTGCAAAGAAATATAAAGAAACTAAATGCCAGTGAAGGATGGACTACAGGAGGTCCCAAAAGATGATAATTGGCCAAGGAGTCACTTCTCCTTCCCAGGAATGTCTGTCTGCACCTGAGAGGCATCTCTGCCCTTGGGCAATACACAAAAAGGATATAAAAACCCAATTTCCAACCTGACCACCAGTTTCCAGGTCCCCCTGCATGCCCCCAACCTCTGCATGACTCCAACCTCTGCTGCTGGAGTCCACCTGTGCTTTCATTCTCAGAGTGAACCCAAGAACCCTGAACTCCTGAAAATTCCTGTGTGTCATCTGTGCATCTCCAAGAAAAGAAAAACTCCTCTTAGAAACACAGGCACACAAGACAGCCTGGTTTAGGCAGAGAGACTGTTGAGATAAGGATAGCCAGGAGAACTTTTGTCAACTCTGTGTGCTGCTGTGATAAACTTAACCTATGCTGTCATAAACTTAGCCTTAGAACTTAGGCTACTTAGAGCCTAAGTGCAGAAGTAATTCTCCCCACTCCTCAATTATCTTTGTGGGACTTTGGGTATGCAGCAGTACAAAAGGCCATGGCTAGGCTGGAAAGAAAAACAACCTCCTGGTATTTAGACCTCAAAATAATTTTAGAGGGAGAGGCTTATAATTTACATAGAGCAGATGTCACTCACAAGATATTTGAAACTAGAGGTGAATTGAAACTGCCTAAAGCTTTAACTCATCCCTGACTCCACTCCACCTATTGGCAAAGGAAAAGGTCATGCCTTTTATAGGCGAAAACAATACTTCTTTCAATCTCCACAGTTTTTTAAGCACATTTAAATTTAAGCATATAATTTCTGAATGTAAAATTTACAATTTCAGAATTATAAAAACAATTCTGAAACAATCAGGAACATATGAAGCATAATTTAGAGGAAAAAACAATATAAAAATGTTAAAGAATGAGCTAGGCTGAGGCAAGAGGATCACAGCTTGAGGCTAGTCTGGACTACATAGTGAGTTCCTGCCAGCCTGGGCTACATAGCAAGATGCTATCTTAAAAATAATAATAATAATAATTTTAAAGAATGGATGAAGAAATGGGGGATTTCAACATAGATGTGGAATATCTAAAAATCTCTTAAGGCACAACTGACTTTTCAAAAGGTGGATGAGAGTACAGGAAAGACAAAAGTACGACCTGAGGCTTCACCCACTCCTGTCACCTCAAGAGACAATCCCTTGACAAGGACAAAAACATTGTATAAGTGGCTCACCTCTAGGGACACTGAGGACAAAATAAATCAAGGAGAGGGAAGACTGAAATAATTCCATCTCTGAGATTCTCCTGCAAAACCACCCAGAATCTGCAAAAACACCCAGAATCTTTCAGGGAAATCTGGTGAGACTTTAAGAAAGTTTGGGTGAGTTGAGAAGAAAGCAATTTCAATTTGAGTCATTATCATTAATGCAATTTCACTTATATATGGGCCTAAAGAAACTTGTGATTATATATGTCTGTCTATCTATCTATATGCTACCCAGCTCTCTTTCCTTTTATAATTAGTAGGCTTTTGGTTGGGAAACATCATCTTATACTTCAGCATCATCTCAAATTTATGCATAAATCCCAGTAAAGAAGTCACCATTGAGAACCTCTTGAATATATATTCTGGTGGACATCAGACAAAATTGTGACAGCAAGTATCATAAGAAGCAGACCTGAAAAGAGGAAGAATAAGTTATCACCTCATGTCAGAGTAGAATACTTCTGGATATCTTCCTCTTGGTGATGAAATAGGTACATCACTTCCCACTGTCACAAGCCACCTGGCTGGGGTCTTTCTGCTCTACCTGGATAGATTTGGTGGGTAAGCAAGAAGCTTCTCTAGTTATTCTGAGACCTTGGTGGGTTTTTGTAATCCTAGCAACAGGATGGTAGGTAACAGTGGGTGGTGGCAGGTAGCGCCCTCTAGCACTGCAGCTCCCACACCTCAGGGGTCCCACTTAGGCACCTTGACAGGTGGAGTGGCAACATGGACTTTCACACTTCAGGGCTCAGGGCTCAGCGTAATCAACAGTTCAAACAGGCATAAGTGTTACAGCTCTTGGTGCCAGGTGTCAGGTCCTGGAGTGTTTAACAGCCTGTGATGGGTGTAAGTGTGATAATTCTGGTGGTAATTCCACTGATAAATTAGTTTCATTACCAGGGCAGCTGACCTGGGAGGCCCCATCACTGCCAATGTTCCCACCCACATGACCCCAATCTGGCCAGTGATATTCCCACCACCCAAGGCTGCAGATGGCACGTCTGCTTTTGCTGCCCACTCTCAGTATCACCACACAGATCATTTCACTTTTGTCATCTCATTCTTACCAGTTTCACTTTCTGCACTGCTGCTGTCTCCACCACCATGTCTCTTCTTTTCTTCATATTACCTGCACAGCCACTATACTAATCAAAAATAGGCTAGAAAAGCTGGGCACCAGGACTCATTCCTGCAATCCCAGCTTCTAGGAGACAAAGATTGGAAGGATCATGGTTCAAAGCCAGCCCCAGGCAAATAGCTCATGAGATTCTATCTCTAAAATACCCAACACAAAAAGGGCTGGTGGAGTGGTTCATGAGGTAGAACACCTGCCTAGCAAGTGTGAGACCCTGAGTTCAAACCCTAGTACCACCAAAAAAAAAAATTGGCTAGAAAGACCATTAGAGGTCTTTATTGGAACTACTGCTGTTATACTAGGGGGTTGGACAGGAGATTGTCTCCCAGTTGCTCACCCAATGAGGTAAACAGCCTACATATATAACCAGAAAGAGGATGTGACAAAGAAGTCTGCATCAAACATGGTCCCCTCATGTAAATAAAGGATTGTGTTGGCACATATCATGGCATAATCCCTATCACCAGTCATGGTAGTCCCTTATGCAAGTGAAAGACTGTGTTTGGACTAGTCACAGGTCTTCTGCTGGGCCACCAGGAACTTCTCCCTGTCTGGCCTGGGTGGAAATGGCTGCAGGGTCATCTAGAGTTCACCAAAGCTCATGGTGGCAAAAAGTCCAGTGCAAACCATTTGCTGGGGCAGTGCCTTCAGGAGCCAAAGTCAAGCTTTGGGTTCAAAGTGACTGGTGCTATCATGAAAGCAATCTGGCTGCCTCGATGGCAGTCCTTCACTCAAAGCAGTCTGGAAAACAGGGAAGGGTCTAATAGCTGTGAAGTAGGGAGTTATATCTTCCCAGCCTCCATCTCAGCACATTTATAGGAAAACTAAACTTTTAAAAGGGTTTTTACAACAAAGGATTATCAGTAACAGTGCTTTAACAGTTTAACAGTACTCTAACAATGCTTAATCCTGACCCACTGCCCCAAAGAGAGGTGGATCCCTATCATCTGTGTCACCACCATGAATTTCTCAAGCTACCTCCATAAATAAAATATGTTCTGCCTTCTCAGTAATTATAAATTTTACAAATTAGTTCCCATAATGGCCTTCATTTGCCGTAAATCATCAAATTTTCTCTTTCCACTGGTCTCTCACATAACTATGGTTGCTTTAATAGCTCCCATATTATACTACCTCTCTCAGCTACTGCCCATTTCTGGTCCCACTCCTTAAAAAGGGTCTCTGTGTACTATGCCACTTCCTCCCCATCCTTTCTCTCCTGGATCTCTTCCTATCAAACTTGTTTTTATCAAGTTTGTTAATTAGCTACATCTCGGCAATACATTAGTCATTATTTGATTTCTCGGCAGGACGAACTGCTCCCCAAGCATTCTCCTCCAAGCCTGCCTCAACTCAGCAACTGTTACCGTTATATATATGGTGAAAAAAATCTAGGAATTATCCTTTAGTTATACATTTTTCTCACACCTCACACCAAATCCAATCCTATTAGCACTACCTCTAACATACATTCAATAATCTATTTCAGAGGGTAAATTCAACTATGATATATTGGAAGAACTTTTGTTAATGCCACAATATACCCCCAGTACAATAACAATGTAATGAAAAATAAAGAATCTGTTTCTCACCTCTTACACTGTATAACTGTAGTTCAAACCACTATTTCTTCTCATGTGGAAAGCATTTTCTAACTGATTTTCCTGCCTGGAAACAAATTATCTCAGTCTCCCTTCAAAGACTTCTCATCACACTTAAAGTAAAATCCAGCTCTTTCGATGACTTTCAAAGCCCTATGTGATCTAGCCTTTGCCTCTTTTGGTTCTCACCTCCCTCCATGCTATTCCTCTTACATTGTGTTCCATCCACACTGGCCATTACTCTTTCACTCAAATATCAAAGGTTTTTTTTTCTCAGAGACCTTGTACTTGCTGCTCTTCTGCTTGGAATATTCTTTCACACTGCTAAGTCCTTTTCATCATTCAAGCCTCAATTCAGACCTTCTGTGTTTATTACATCCACTAAAATATAAGTACTTTAAGGGTAGGGACTATATCCAATTTGCAATTTACTGTACTTCCAAAGCCTAGAAGATTCCAAGTGGTACTGTCTAAATACTTATTCATGCACTTCAACTACTTTTGGATGTTTAGAGCATTCCTTCAATTACTTATAATTATGAAGGCTATCAACATATATCTATTAAATTTTGAGGCCCAAATGCTGTGCTTTATAAAAAGGGTGAAAAGATCCCTAAGATTCTTTTTAGAGAGTGACATCAGCAAGATGGATCAGTAGCATAGTAGGTCCCAGCTCTCAAGTCCCCCGACAGAAACACCAATTTTAACAAACACTCATGGATGAGAATACTACATAGGAACTTAGGAGTCCAACTGAGAGGTTCTAGGATCACTGTGGAGCAAAACATCCAAGAATAGATGCTTTACAAAGGATAAGAACAGTTTGACTTTCTCATGTCACCCTTCTTCCAAAGCCTCACAGCTCAGTACCAATAAAGTATCCCTTGACTAGTGATTTCTCCCACAAGAGAAAGTGAGAGTGAGAAGTAAGCACTCACTTTTACAAAGAATGTGAGACAATGCCCAAGAGACCCAGAATTTATCTTGCCCAATCCAGAACACTGAAGGAGGAAGCAAAATGAATTATTTGAAGGAGGCTAGAAATAGGAAAATGGGGCCAGGGCTCACAGCAGCTTGCAAACATATCTTGACAACTGCCTATAGATTCTACTATCTGGCCTGTAGACTTTACCAGGAGCCCCACCCACAAACCCTGTGGGGTGTGTTCACCACAGATGACCCTCCAACTAGTTGACATACATCCCAGCACCACAGGCACCCCCACCATCACCAACAGTGCACACATACTCCTCCACAGGTGTAATCCCAGACTCTTTTAAGTGGACATTTCCACCAGATAGAAGGAATGAACATCCACAGACAGCATACAAGTCTCAGCAGGTGGTTCAACATGGCTAGCCTGGAAGAAGGTACACAACCTTGATCAGCTCAGGGCACTGCTCTCAGGAAATAAATTGAATGCTACAGGTACCTAGCCTGGTTTTGAAAGAATCAAGAAAATTCACAAGCCTAAACCTTATCTTCAATGGGGAAAAGATTAGAGTGGATGCATCAATAAAAAAGTTGTAATAGACTTCAAGATCTTTAACCAGGCTGACAAGTAAACTCTCTTTCATAGCCTCTCAGTAAAGACTAGAGGGAATGACTGCTTCTTCAAATGAGAAGACAGCAATGCAAGGCTTCAAGGAACATGAAAAATCAAAGAAATATAACACCACCAGAGAGACAAAATAAAACTCCAGTAGCTGACCCTAAAGAAAGAGATATACAAATTATCTAAAAAAAATTCACAATACTCTTAATTTCAATAAGCTACAAGAGAATACAAACAGACAAGTAGAAGAAACCAGAAAAACAATGTGTGAACAAAATGGGAAGATCAAAACAGATATAGAAACTAAAAAACAACCAAATAGAGTCCTGGAGCTGAAATAGTCAATGAAGTGAAAATTCCATAGCTCCTCCATAGCAGAACCAATCAAGTAGAATAAAGATTCAGGGAACTCAAAGTCAATTTCACTTGAAATTTCCCAGTCAGATGAACAAAAAAAAAATAATAATGTTTACAAGATTTATAAGATACCATCAAGTAAACCAACATAGGCATTATAAATGTTCCAGAATGTTGGGCACTGGTGGCTCATGCCTGTAATCCTCGCTACTCAGGAGGCAGAGATCAGGAGGATCATGGTTCAAAGCCAGCCTGGGCAAATAGTTCATGAGACCTGATCTCAAAAATACCTAACACCAAAAAGGGATGGTGGAAGAGCTCAAGTGGCAGAGTATCTACCTAGCAAGAGTGAGGCCTAAAAAAAAAAAAAAGTTACAGAATGATAAATGAAAGAAAAAGGGCAAAAAGTTTTTATTTTTAAAGAAATAATGGCAGCATGGTGGTACACACCTGTAATCCCAGCACTTGGGAGACAGAGGCAGGAGTATTGAGAGTTTGAAGGCAGCCTGGGCTTCATACAAGTTCAGGGCTAGCTAGGATTACATAGGAGACCCTGTCTGGAAGGAAGGAAAGAAGGAATAACAATGACAGAAAGCTTCCCCAACTGGGGAAGGAAATGAATACCCAAGCTCAGGAATCCCAAAGAATTCCTAATAGCCTGTATATAAAGAAGTCCTTATCAAAACACATTATTATAATCGAATTGTCAAAAGTCAATGATAAAGACAATTTTGAAAGCTGCAAGAGATAAGTAACTTCACATGTTAGGGAACTTTCATAATACTATCAGTGGATTTTTCAGAAAAAAAATCTTGCAGACCATGAGAGTGGGATGATATATTCAAAATACTAAAAGAAAAAACTGTCAACCAAGAATGCTTTACAATGAAACTGTTGCAGAAATGAAGTAGCAATGGAGACTTTTCCAAACAAATACATACTAAGGCCATTCATTACTACTAGAGTTGCCTTTACAACTCCATTTATTAAAAAAATAATAATAATAATAAAGTTAAAATGAAAGAACACTACTTAGCAGAAAAACATATGAAAATATATAAGACTCACTAGTAAACCCAGAGTAGTGGCTCACGCCTATACTCCTGGTTACTCAGGAGGCAGAGATCAGGAGGATTACAGTTCAAGGCCAGCCTGGGGAAAAAGTTAACAAGACCCCATCTCAACAAATGGTGCATACCTGTAATCCCAGTTATATGAGAGGATTAAGTAGGATGATTATGGTCTAAGGCTGGCCCTGAGCAAAAAATGTGAAACCCTATTCAAAAAAATAACTAAAAGCCAAAATTTTTTTCAAATAAAAATAAAACTTACTAGTAAAGGGAAGTATACAGTCAAGTTCAGAATATTCTAGTACTATGATAAATCACTTTTAACTCCAGTATAAAAGTTAAAACATGTATCAAAAATATAGTTACAATAATTCTTAATGTATATACAATATAAAAAGATGTAAGTTACAGCATTAATAACATGAAATTTGGGAGAGGGAAGAAGTAAAAGGGTTTAAGTTTTTGTATGTAGCTGAAGTCATTTTCAGCTTAAAACAGACTATTCTAACTCTCAAGATTTTTAACATATTCTCATGGTAATCACAAAAGGGAAAAAGCTATAGTATGTACACAAATTGTTTTAATACCACTACAAAAAATGATCATTAAATCATAAAGGAAGAAACAAGAGAGGGAAAAAGAAACAGAGGAACTAGAAAACAGTTAAAAAAATTAACAAAATGTCAGTAATAACTATCTATCAATAACTACTTTAAATCAAATGGGTTACATTATTTAATCAGAAGACATAGAGTGGCTGAATGGCTAAGAAACCATGCTGCCTACAAGAAACTCCCTTTACCTTTAAGCACATACATAGGCTTAAAGTTAAAGAGTGAAACAAGGTATTATAGGAAATAGTCTCAAAAGAGAGTTGAAGTGGTCATAATTGTATCCGGCAAATAGATTTCAAGTCAAAAACTTTAAAAAAAAAAGGAAAGAAAACAACAAAAGAAGGTCATTATAGTTCAATTCATTAAGAAGATACAGTAATTGTAAAAATATATATGCACCCAACATCAGCATACCTAACAGGTAAAGCAAGTATTAACATAACTGGAGGAAGAAATCATCAAGAGCAACACAACAATAATAGAAGCCTTCAATATCCCAAATTCAACATTGGACAGACATCTAGACAGAAAATCAGCAAAGTAAAATTAGATTTGATCACCACTTAAAACCAAATGAACCAACAGATTTATATAGACCATTCCATCCAATGACAGGGTGATATATGGAGTATTTTTGTATTCAGGAACACAAGGAGTATTTTCCAAGATAGATTATATATTAGACTACAAAGCAAGCCTTAACAAATTTATGAAGATTAAAATTATATAGAATATAATCTCTGACCACAATGGTATGAAACTAGAAATCTATAACCAGAGGAAAATTGGAAAATTTGCAAATATGAGAATTAGACAACACATTACTGAGCAATCAATGAGTCAAAGAAGAAATCAAAAAGTAAATGATTTTGTATCCTACAAGTTTGCTAAATTCACTATTAATGCTAACAGGTTTTTCAGTACAGAGGTGTTTTGGGATTTTCTACATATAAGACTGTGTCATCCACAAACAATTTGACTTCCAATTTAGAAGCCCTTTCTTTCTATTGCTTAATTTCTCTTCCTAAAGCTTCCAGAACTATGTTGAATAAACTATGTTGCTTTGTTCCAGATCTTAGAGCAAGAGCTTTTAGCTTTCCCCCATTTTGTGTAAAGTTAACTATTTGCTTATCATAAATGGACTTTATTATATTGAGCCAACATAAATTTTTTTAATTATTTTAATGTCAATTTATCACATATCTACATATAAAAACTTTTATAATATTAATGTAAATTTAATTAATTCTTAAAGCCATAGCTAACGTTTTTCTTTTGTTACTATATAAATAAAACCTAATATTTTAAAAGTATAAGGAATATTTCAAGGGAAAAAATTAATGTACAGTCAATATAATTAAAGAACTGATATATCACTCATATTCTACCTAATATATGTCTTGCACATAGCAGGAATTCACAAAAGTCTACTAAATAAATGCATGGCTTTAGAATGAGTTCTTATTCGGCAATTAATAAAAATATAACTCCTGAAATAACAATGCTTTCATGCTGGGACCTTAGAGACATGGTTCTAATTCTTTCAATACCAAAATGCTGATGAAGAAGACCAGAGAAACTTAGTAAGGGTAAGTCCTTATTAGCCAAATACTGCAAATGTTGGACATTTTAGGGAAGAGACCATATGTAGCAAGAATCTTTGTTCACCCATCATTCTATTCATTCTGTTCCCATGTGCAAAATGGAGAACTTGGAAAGCTGGTGATATAATCAGTTTCCATTTGAAGGCCTGACAATGGTGAAACTCTCAGTCTAGTGGAAAAATCTTTTCTCCCTGCATTTTTGTTCTTTCTGGCTCCTCAAGAGACTGTATGATACCCAGCCACATTGGTGAAATCAAATCTTCTTTACTCAAATGTTAATAGCTTCCTGGAACATCCTTACATTCATCCCCAGAAACAATGTTGTATCAGGTATCTAGTCACCCATTAGCCCAGTTAAAATTATCACGAAAGGAGTCTTGAAATATATAAGCAAAAGCAATCTGACTTTACAAAGAACCAAAGAGAGGGCCAAAAACGAAAACTTAAAACTTTTTTTAAATTGTTTATTAGCATATGCTAATTGTACAAAGGGGTTTCATTGTGGTATTTCCATACATGCACATATATTGTAATTTCATCAAACTAATTCCCTCTAGTGCTTTCTTTTATCTTCATTCCCCTTCCTCCTCCTTATGTTCTTACAGATTTAGTGCTTTTCATTATGCTATAAAAATTAAAGCTTTTCACTGAAATAAGATTTCAAACCCTCAATGAATGGATTAAATTGTAAATTTAAACAAAAAGAAAACTTCATGACCTCAAAAACAAAAGAAAATATCTGGGCAACCAGCTTAGGAAGGCGAAGAGATGCAAAATTGAGAGATTAAAAGACACAGAAGATAGGATGAGCAGTATTAATATGCATTTAAACCATTTCAGAAGAACAGGAGGGGGAGCCTGAAGTAGAAACCATGACAGGAAAAAATAAAAGATCCTAATTTGAAGATCTGATGAAAGAAATAATCTAAAGATTAAAGATCTCCTCCCCCTCACCCCGAAATTTCTGGCAAAGTAAATAAAAAGAAGACTTCTAATTGCCTCACAGTCACAGGACAAAATACTAAAAAGAGAAAGATAACAGGAAGCTCTCAGAAGTAACAGACTACAGGTGACTTCTCAGCAACATCAGTAGCAGCCAGAGGATTGAATTGTATAAATTCAAGTTTTCAAAGACTCCTGTTTAATTTTCAAATAATGATAATTTCATTAACATTAAGACCTTTTCAAGACAAATATGATATTAAAATTTCTAGGGTAAAAACTAAAAGAATATGTTAGAGGAGAAAAATGACAAGAGAAGTGACTGCCACTGTGAGTCCAGCTGCTTAGTTCAGCTGGCTAAGTGAGCTACAGGAGAGACTACTTCTATAGACTTTATTCGTTTATAGGCCAATTAGGTGTTCACACAGAGAACATTCTGTTTGTGGTTGGACACTTTGAACCCCAACGCAGGTAAAAATGTCTGTTAAGCATATGTAATTAAATCTTAACTAGAACAGATATTTTTTAAAAACATGGCATTTCCAAGCACAATTTTTTTTTCTGCTTCTACTGAGGTTTGAACTCAGAGCTTTGTGCCTGCAAAGCCGGTGCTCTACCACTTGAGCCACACCTCCAGTCCACTTTGCTCTGGTTATTTTGGAGATGGGGTCTTGTGAACTATTTGCCCAGGCTGGCCTGGAACCTCCATCCTCCTGATCTCAGCCTCCCAAGTAGCTAGGATCGCAGGCATGAGCCATTGTTGCCCAGCTCCAGCACAAATTTTAAAAATTATTTCCACCACGAGTTCAAAACCTACTCCCAGCATGCAGCTTATCAGCAATGAGTTCTCTTCACAGACCAAAGTCTGTACTTGACTTCTTTCTTAGGTTTCACTGTCTGGCAGGCTAATGGTCATGGGGACACTGCTTAGTATACTACATAATTACACTTCCTAATTTTTTGATGGTATTGGGGTTGGAACAACATTTCCTATTTAAATAAAATTTTGTATATACAAAGGAGTTCTTGCATGACCTCATATAATTTCCACTGAAATCCTTAAAGGCAAATATTTTATGTTATTAATGAGGAAATAGAGCCTATGCCAATCGAAATGGTTTGTACAAACTAAGCTTGTAGTACATATAGACCTCAAACACTGGTCTGCTGGCTACCTGCAGAACACTCTAAACTACTTCTAAACTGCCACTTCTAATTTTGTTACCTTCAAAAAAAAGTTTAACTATATGCATTGTAAATGCTTAATTTCCAAAATGTTTCTTTTCCTATACAATAAATTGTCTTCCTAATTAATCATAACAATATTATCGTGCATATGGCTATATGTATGTGTGTGTTTGTGTGTTTGTAGGCTTTTGCCTATATGCATTGTACATATCATGGAGGTAATAAAAAAGTTAGAGAACATTTTCATCTATAATTGAAACTCCAAACAAAGTTGGCTTTAGATTATGTTAACTACAAAAATCTCAGTAATGACGCAGTGTCTCACATCTGTAATCCCAGCTACTCAGGAGGCAGAGATTGCTAGGACAATGGTCCAAGGCTGTCGTGGGCAAAAGCATGAGACCCTATCCGAAAAATAAACCAAAGCAAAAAGGGCTTGAGGTGTGGCTCAATTGATAGAGCACTTTCTTCCAAGCTCAAGACCCTGAGTTCATATCCTAGTACTGCAAAAAAAAATTCAATAATAATTTGTCCAACAATCAAACAGAACACTCTCTGAATTTAAATAATGCTCAATATTATATAAAAAGCATGGAAAATCAATCAAAATCATTACTGGTATTTAAGATCACAACAGATCACAGGACCTCAAAGAAAGCAGGTACAATAACTTAATCAATGTTATATATCCCCATACAGCAAACCATGTGACACACTGCAGGTGTTTGTTAAGTTTGATGAGTGAGCAGATTAATAAGCGAGAAAGGTGAAGAAAATATTCTCAAATTCAGGGCATGATCTTTGGCAGCAAATAGAATGAACTTCCAAAGGTGATGGTATAAAAGAAACAGCGAAGACAGAAGAGTTAATAAAAAGAATTCTGAAGGAGTATCTACATGAAAATTAATATTGCCAATCCACTACATTCTTCAGTTGCATGTTTGTGTAACATGACTCCAGCATGATCGCTACAGTAATTAACATGACAGCTAAGAACGACTGTATTGGAGCATGAATGGCTGTTTGGAAATGTGCTGTCTCATAAATCTCTGAATCAGTGTACCATATTCATGGGTGAGTTACTAATATTTCCTTATTTTGATCTCAAAAAGAAGGTCATTTACTTTTAGTGCATTTTTATTTGACTCTTTGAAAGACAGCTATGTAAAAATCAATTTGCTGTTACCTCAACACTTGGAACCCATCGAATCTTACATCTTTCCACCCAGAAAAATATCTTTCAGAGAGAAGAGACAACAGGAAAAGAATACAGATATCATTTTAATAAAAATTACTTACAGAAATTTAAAGAGATTAAGTTTCTAGTGTTTTGTGACAATAGGATTTTAATGTTGTCCACTTCAATTTCATATCCAATTTTAAATGCCTTATTGAAAGTTCTCTGTCCTCAAAATTATCAAAAATGAATAATTAAATTCTGAAAGATTTGTACTGTATTAACTTAAAGTTTTCAAGGCAAACCAGCCAAACAAAATTCTATTATTCAACCTAAAATTGAGACAAGATAGAAATTCTTTTGACTCAGACAAAAATCAATCATAGCAATCACAGTCTCTTGAATCTTCTACTGACTACTATTCATACAGAAACAAGCAAACAAAAAACTACTTTCAAAATAACTTTCAAGACTAATACTCTCTGAGCAACCTTTTGTAAAGTATCATATGTGACATGGGCTCTGGGGTTGAATGGCCTGAGTTTAAATACCAAAGCTGTCCCTTTCTGAAAGTATAATCTAGAGCAAATTAATCAAATTCTCTGTTTTCTAAAGAATGGCCCACTCCCAAGAGCTTTTCTGATTCTCCTCATCATATAGGAATCATTCTCCAATTTTTGGCTCTCTGGAGCTTTACTTGCAATTTTCACAGAACTTTTCTTGCTCGATCCCATGTTTTCATTTTTTTAATTCTAATCTACACAACTACTCTTCAAGTCCTTTGGAGGCAATGCCTATGTTTTCTCATGCCTGTACTTGCTAAAGAACAGAGGATTGAGCCTAGCACATAGAAGCATTCACATTTCATATGAATTAAAAGGAATCAGGAAAAGCCAGGAATAAACATGCTCCAGTTTAACACCCGGAGACTATATTTGCACTTTTACAAAATAAACCAATGAAGACAGAGAATTTAATTAGCAAAAATGTATTACATATAATGCTTGATGATAATGAAATTTTGTATGAAGGCATCTCCTCACTGAGGTGAAAAGTTCAATGGTAAAGTTGAGTGACAATGGATATGATGGCATTGTCATTGCAATTAACCCCAGTGTACCAGAAGATGAAAAACTCATTGAAAACATAAAGGTAAGAGAAAATTTCATAATCCATATGTTTTTATTTCAGTAACTATTTCTACCTCAGCATATGTACACACTCTGGAAAGTAGTTGCTTTGACATTATTCATCATTTATGTAACTGCTAGGATTAATATCTATTTAGTTTTATCATTTATTATACATTAATCTTAGTAGTTTATTAAAACTACTAATATTTCTTTCAACTAGTTAAGATAACAGAAAGGCTTTAGGGCAAGTGGAGAACTGTTCTCATTTTATTTTAATGAAGTTACTTTTACAAAGTTTAAATATTTAATCCGCATGTAAGACCTAGAGGTTCATTATCTTACACATTTTTCCAGTTGGTCATACTGCTCATCCCTGGAAAACTTTCAAAATTTTATGTATCTTATCTTAAAGAAAATATTACATACTTTTGAGGTTGAGTTAGCTCCCTAATCATATTTATATTGACATAATAAAAACATTTTCTATATAACACTTTAGTATATATTATGTTCTTTGATCTTCTTAATATCCCTGTGAGTGGTCAAGAGCAAGGGTTTTTACTCTTGTCATATAAATAAGAGAAATTACAGCCATTCAGCAAGTGGCAAAACTGGGACCTAAAGCCAATCAGACCTTTTATATTTTTATTATTATGACTTGATAAAACTTTGTCTTTTATGAATATACCCTATATGAGGAAATAACTCAAAATAAATCCAACAAAATGTTTTTAATTAATATCAAGTTTAATAATCTACCAAATTTTTAAACCTCCAATTTATTTAAACAACCCAATTATAAGAACTTCTATTTGTTTAAATAAGCAACTTGCCAGTAGGCTCCCAGTCTTCATAACTTTTGTAGCTCACCTAGCATCCTTGTTTCCATCTCTAATTCATACTGTTGATTGCAGGTGTGGACAGGTAGAAAACAAAGTGGATTTGGGGCATATGAATTTACAGATTGGAAAGGAGCAATAATATTCCATTTTTTTCGTTAATCTTTGCAAAAATATTTGGAGGAAAAGGAGCTCTGGTTCACTTCTACTAGTTTGTAGATATACGTTTATGCTCATTTCATTGTGAAATTGTTACCACAAAGTACCTTTCATTTTATCAGGACATGGTAACTGAAGCTTCTACTTATCTATTTCATGCCACCAAACGAAGACTTTACTTCAGGAATGTAAGCATTTTAATTCCAGTGACCTGGAAGTCAAAGTCTGAGTATTTAATGCCAAAACAAGAATCATATGAACAGGTAGCTATTTTTTATTAATACTTATAACCTTTGGTAACTACTAACCACTAATTTAGTCATAAAGTAAGTAATATAACTCTTCTTAATGTCTACAAAAAAGTTCTTGTTTTTAAAATCTCGTTTCTATTGCGCTTAGAATTTATTTTTGTTTGTCCTGTGTTTTAGGCAGATGTCATAGTTGCTGATCCTTACCTAAAATATGGAGATGATCCCTACACACTTCAATACGGACAATGTGGAGAGAAAGGACAATATATACATTTTACTCCAAACTTCCTGTTGGCTAACAACCTGATGATCTATGGGCCCCGAGGTAGGGATACAAATTTTATATTCTTATTCCCAATAGAAAAAAATAAAACACTGTGATTAATGACATTTTAAAGGATTTTAAGAAGAGAAAAATAGGTGTTTAATAATGCCTTTGAAAATATGTTTATATTCAACTTTCTTTGTGCATATGGGTTTAACAAAATGAGTCATTTATTACCAATAACCCATTTCAACTTTTTTTACCAATAACCCATTTCAACTTTTTTTACCTAATGAAAAGTGTCAATTTCTAGAGTTCCTTGATTCAGTTAGGTTGGGAGATGGGCAGAAAGTTTTAAAATATAAAGAAACTGTATTAAAATATTGTAACTATAATTCATAAATGGCAATATTCTCTCATAGGCAGAGTATTTGTCCACGAGTGGGCCCATCTTCGGTGGGGGATATTTGATGAGTATAATGTGGACCGTCCATTCTATATTTCCAGAAAGAACACTGTTGAAGCAACAAGGTATCACTGTATTGAACAAATCTGTTTTCCAATCTTTTCACTTATGACTCTTCAATTCTCTATATTAGGCAAAATCTATTTTAAATAGTTGGATGTTCATCAGTTAATTGCAACATGTTCCATTATGTATGTATCCAGGTAATTCTGGGGATTCCACTTTAGAATGAAGATAATCAGGAATTGGGAATCATTTCAATTTTCACAGGAATTCTGCTAACATGTTATAGGCAGAAGAGAAAGGAAAAAGCTAAGTCCCGAGATATGAGAGAATTGGAGTTCAACTCTATCCACTTTTTTGTTCTGCTTAATCTGTAACTTTTAAGGTGAATCTACTCAAATCTAAGTAAATATATTTTACTTTTCAATTGAAGTACAAAGTATTTCTCATAAGGTAAGAGAATAGTTGATTTTTTTAAGAAATACAATTCTGGGAGTAGATATAGACAGGCCTTATTTATTTACAAACAGATGAGGTTTAAGCCTTTAAAGCTATCAAGCACATTGAGTATTCAAAAAGTACTGAAAAACAATAGGTATCAATGTAATCAGGAAATAAGTCTTTGAGAGAAAAACGTATTAGATGAAAGAGGAGTGCTAGGAAAAAGACTCTCCTGTCTGTTTCTGTTGTATACTTGGTCTCCAGAGTGACCTCACTCTTTCATTCAGACTGAGCTCTTGGCCCAGGGCACTCATTTCTCCCACCTTCATCCCATGAAACTCCTCCCTTGCCCAAACAATCCCTGTTCATCCTTTAAATATTTCTTCTGTAAATGTCTTTCCTTAAATTTAAGGTTAGATGCCCTTGGAACAGCTCCTATAGTAATATATGTGGGTTTTTCTCATGCAGTATTGTCATGTAATTTTTTTTTCTGGCTAGACTTTAAGATCCTTGAGGACTGTGATTTTTTTTTTCCATACTGAGGTTTGAACTCAGGGCCTACACTTTCAGTCACTCCACCAGTCCTTTTCGATGAAGGGTGTTTTGGAGATAGGGTCTCTCGAACTATTTGTCCAGGCTGGCCTCAAACTGCAATCCTCCTTATCTCCGCCTCCTGAGTAGCTAGGATTATATGTGTGAATTTTGTTTTAATCCCCTGGCGTTGAGCCTGGCATAAAGTCTAAGCTAAATAAAGAATTATCAAAAAAATACTTGATAAGTTAATTTTTCTTATAAAAAGAGATATATTGGTCAAAAAAAAACAAACAAACATGGACTAAAACAACAGTCATTGCACTCCTATTTATGTGTCAGACATTTTAAATTGATGAAGTCTCATCACATGTAAATTCAACTTTCAGGCTAACTCCAGAGCTGACTCTCTTGGAAGCTATTGTTTACCATCTTCCTTAATCTTTACAATACAAATGTACTTATTAAAATGGATTAGCACTAGTAGAGCGGCTCAAGTGGTAAAGTGCCTGCTTTGCAAAGGCAAAGCTCTGAGTTCAAACCTCAGTCCCACCAAGACAAAGAAGGAAAGAGATATTGATCTAAGACGGACTAATATCGTGAGGTTTAATAATAACCAAGAATGGGAGGAAATTCTGCATATACACAGAAACTCTTTAGAATCACTTACCCGTTCTCCATCCCCCACTCCCCACCCTCATTCCATGCCAGACATTTGACAATTATCTTTATCATGAAGACCAACGGTTTGAATACATACATGGATTTCCGTGCGTGGTTTATTTTTATTTCTTCCTTCAGTCTAGCTCATAGGTTCTCAAAATGTAAATTACAAAGTACTATAAAAATAAAACTTTGCATGTCACACATGGAAACTTAAAAAGGATTTTAAGCATGGTGTTGACTCTCTTCCTCATGACTCTTAAGTCATTTAATCTTTACAACATCACTATAAATTAGGAATTGTCTTCTTTAGTCCAAAGCCACAAAGACAATATATTTAACAATCACATTAATAAACAATGAATGTTTAATGTTCTTATTAAAATATATGGCAAGTAGGGGTAAAATATTGTGCCTACTTTTGTCAAAAAAGGCACAACAGGAGGATAGGTAAGACACCTAAAAAATTAGCTAGCATTTGTTGCCCTTAATGCAGAGAGACTAAAGCAGATACCTTAAAAGCAACTGAGGCCAATAGGAAAAGGGGACCAGGAACTAGAGAAAAGGTGAGATCAAAAAGAATTAACCTAGAAGGTAACACACACGCACTGGAAATTAATGTGAGTCAACTCACTGTATAGCTATCCTTACCTCAACCAGCAAAAACACTTGTTCCTTCCTATTATTGCTTGTACTCTCTCTACAACAAAATTAGAGATAAGGGCAAAATAGTTTCTGCTGGGTATTGAGGGGGTGGGGGGGAGAGGGAGGGGGTGGAGTGGGTGGTAAGGGAGGGGGTGGGGGCAGGAGGGAGAAATGACCCAAGCCTTATATGCACATATGAATAATAAAAGAATAAATAAATAAATAAATAAATAAGGCACAACAGAACATGCCTGGAACTGAGTGGGGGAGGGGGGAAAAATGACCCAAATAATGTATGCACATGTGAATAAAAAAATAATAATAATAAATGGAATGTTTGGTGCATAACCTACAGCAGTAGTCACTGAAATAAAGATTTTAGGATGTTAGTCTGTGTTCCTCATTTACCTAGTCTTCATATATATAATATGATCTAACTCTTTTACCACAGATGTTCCACTCATATTACTGGTATGAATGTGGTTTTCAACCAGTGTCAGGGAGGCAGCTGTATAACAAGGTCATGCAGACGTAACTCACAGACAGGGCTGTATGAAGCAAAATGTACATTTATCCCAGACAAATCCCAGACTGCAAAGGACTCCATAATGTTCATGCAAAGTTTTGATTCTGTAAGTACCTTCTATTTCCTGTCTTGCAAAGGAACCCCTAGGAAAAAAATTAATTAGTGAAATTGGATTTTCTACTGCAATATTATATGTACTGAAAGAGAGGAAGGAAATTACTCATATAATTAATCAGAGGTCATTTTCTCCAGCCCCTGTCAGGGTGTACCTGGAAATCATGCCACTTTTCTTATTAACCCCTTTCTTTTCAGATGCAGCACTGTACTCTTCTCAGTGGAGTCACAGAATTCTTAGAACATCTCTTCCTCATTGATTTCTGTTGGACTTATGTCTACAGCAACTACCTTTCTTTTGATTCTTCTCCCAAGCATTAGTCATAGTACTTTGCTAAAGTAATCTACAATGGAACTTTAGAAGGGACTAATATTCTAGATTTTTCCATTATCTTCTCACTAAAGCACAACAATCTATTGTTAATGTAGTATGAAAATGTACAGGCCCGTCTCCTAGAGTACATATAAGAGGACAAGTTCACAAAGTTAATGCTCAACCTGAAATAGCTGCTTTAAATATATAAAGTTTAATTTATAACAACAGGCATGCAGGAGTCGGGATTATTTTATTTATTATCATTTTTGCATTTATTTATATGTGTATACATTATTTGGGCCTCCTCTCCTCCCCCACCTTGGGGCAAAATCTGTTCTTCCCTCTTGTTCTCTGACTTTGTAGAAGAAAAAACATAAAAGATAGTAAGAAAACACATGGCATTTTTGCTAGTGTGAGATAAAGATAGCTATACGGAGAGATTCCTTGTGTTATTTCCATGCATATACATATTACGACCCAAACTGGCTCATCTCCACCAGACCTCTTCACTACCTTGGGGTAGTTAAGGTGGTGAAGAGACCATCTTCCCATAACAGTCTCTGCCAGTTTAAGATTTCTATATTTGTTCCTATACAGTGAGCACATCAACCACATTCACGTTTTTGGTTTCCTTCCCTTGCCCTATCCCTCTCATGTGTGGTCTCTCTTTAGTGTGTGGCCCATGCCCAATAATATTACTGCATTTATTTTAAGTCTATAATCCGCATATAAGGGAGAACATGTGTCAGATTTAATATGGAAACCTAACCTATTGTTTTCAAGCTGTGTCACTGTGGAAAACCTGTTAAAACTGAGTTTTAGTTCACTCATTTCTTTAATGGAAATCAAACTACATACTTCATAATATTATTGTTGTTAGGTTTTCAAGCACTAATAAAAATAAAGTATTAACATTGACCTTAGCACAAGGTGAGTGTAAAATAAGCTTTAAATTTTTAATTTCTAAACGTATAAAATATTTGGAAAATAACCAGTTGCCTCTTTCCCTGAATAAGCTCAATCTCTCTGATTTTTTGTTTTTAATTGACATATAACTTATTTTAATTGACACATAATAATTTTATAGGACACAGTGATATTTTGATAGGTATACATAATGAATAATGATCAAGTTGGAGTACTTAGCATGTCTATCACTTCAAACATTTATCCTTTTTGTATTGAGAATATCCAAAATCCTTTCACCTAGCTATTTTGAAACATGCCATAGTGTTATAAAACACTATAACTTATTGCTCCTATCTAACTTTAATTTTGTACTTATTAGCCAACCTTCCATATATCCCCTTTCCCATATCTTTCCTAGTCACTGTTAACTATTATATTATTTTTACTTTACTTCTATGAAATTGACTTTTTTTTAGTTTTGACTTGTGAGTGAGATCATGCAGCATCTGTCTTTCTGTGCCTAGCTTATTTTACACAATATACCACGTATCTGTAAATGACAGGACTTCATTTTTATGACAGAATAATATTCCATTGTGCATATATACCACATTTTATTAATCCATTCACCTACTGATGAACACTTAGATTGCGTCTATATTTTGCCTATTGTAAATAGTGCCACAAGAAATAACAGGAGTGCACATATCTATTTACATACTGAGTTCCTTTCCTTTGAGTACATACCCAGGAGTGGAACTGCAGATCATCTGCTACAATAATGAAATGGTACTATTAAAATTTCTACAAATTGAAGGTTACTGTAAGATCATTGTCTTCCTGAATCATCTAGTCTATGAGAATATTTTTCCAAGTTACTAAGCTTTCAAACTTGAAGAATTTTCACAGATTTTATAGTAATGAGACACTCATTAGTGTCAAAATTATTGGCTATAATTCACCATTTGCCACTACATGAGAAATAATTACATTTCCTCATTTTCTCCTTATCCTTTCATTACTTTTGCCAATTATGTCAAAATTCACCAGAGACTGTAACAATCCAGATTGTTAGAATACCTGTTCTCAAGTTTTTCAATCAACTGTGAAGATACAGAACATAAACAAAGAAAGCCATTTTCTCTACTTCACTTTTAGGAGACATATATAATTTCCATAAACTCTCTCTTTTTTCCTTAAACTTAATTGAAGACTTGAGTTCCCCCAAAAGTCTAGAAGGTAAAATAAGAAGCTAATTTAAGCAGGTAACATAAACTGCCACCATCCTCCACTAACATGATCTACCTATACTTAAAAGAGCCACCAAAAATATCAGCAGTACATAGTGATAGCTTTACTTTGATTCTACTTCAAGTATGCAAAATGGATGTCAGATTTTTTTTTCTTTTGGTGTGACTGGAGTTTAAACTCAGGGCTTCACAATTGTAAGCAGGCACTCTACTGCTTGAGCCACACTTCCCGCCCATTTTGCTCTGGTTACTTTAGAGATGGAGTCTTGTGAGCTATTTGCCTGGGCTGGCCTTGAACTATGATCCTCCCCATCTCAGTCTCCCAAATAGCTAGGATTACGGGTGTGAGCCACCAATATCCAGCAGATGTTGGAATTTTTGATAAGTAAATTTTAACTGTTAGAAGATAAAAATCTGTGGAGGGTATATGATAGCTAACCACATACTTGGTTGGAAAAGAAAATAATGCCTCACAAGCTATTGCATTACCATATTGTGATTTATTTCTTTCCAGGTAACTGAATTTTGCACAGAAAAAACACACAATACAGAAGCTCCAAACCTACAAAACAAAATGTGCAACCACAGAAGCACATGGGATGTAATCAAAGACTCTGCTGACTTTCAGAATGTATCTCCCATGACAGAAACAAAAGTACCACCTCATCCTATGTTTTCATTGCTCAAGTCCAAACAACGAGTAGTCTGTTTGGTACTTGATAAATCTGGAAGCATGAGTGCAGTAAGACAGTTTTTTTTTTTTTGCTAACTCTCTGAAATTAAGTATGTAAGTTAATAGAAATTTAATCTTAGGGTTAGTTCTAATAAGCTAACTAGCATATATAATTATGCTGTAACAAATTTTAGCACAATGATTTTATATAAGTAAGTACTAGAAGACAACCTGCTAAAATAAAAATAATTATTCTGTAAGGTTATTAGATTATTGGGAATTTTTATTCCTTAAGTTTTAATTCGAACAAGAAAAAATATAATTGAACAAGATGAAAATCATTCATAATTCTACCATTCAACATGTCATTCAAGTCTTATTTTTGTTAATGTATTTGTTTTTCCCTCTTCAAAAATGTGATTATATTTTGTATGTTTGTGATATTATTTTTATCCATCAAAGCTTGACTGATTAACGAAAGACAAATCTTAGTCGTTAGATTGTATGTACATAATATAATTTAGTCAAACAATCCCACTGGACATTTTGGAGATTTTCAAATTGTTACTACTAAAACATACATTGTAATGAACATCTTTGTATGCCTTTTTAAGTTATTTCACTAGGAAAAACTCCTGAATATATAATTGTTAAATAAAAAGGTATAGATTTTTAAGGCTTTTATAAGAATAGTAACTGATTTTTTTCAAAGATTTTTCGTGAATTTTTTAGTAAAACAAAGAAATTAAATTTTTTAATATATCAGTCATTACCATGATCTATGGCCCATGGATGACGTTGTCTTTCATTAATCCATCAAGCTTTGAAGAGACTCAGGGATTGTTCAAATATCTTTTTCTTACAGGATGCCCGTCTTGTTCGAATGAATCAAGCGGCAGAACTGTTCTTAGTTCAAATTATTGAAAAGGAATCTATGGTTGGGATGGTCACATTCGATAGTGTTGCTAAAATCCAAAATAATCTAATAAAAATAACTGATGATAGTGCTTACCTAAAGATCACTGAAAACCTGCCTCAAAATGCTGGCGGTGGAACTTCAATCTGTAGTGGACTAAAAGCAGGATTCCAGGTAAAAAAATTTTTTTAATTTAACATTTTTTACCATTTCTTTTCATGTTTTCTATTTACCTTCAACAAGGGTCGTGAGTTCATTGGTTCCTCATTTAATAATATCCTGACCGCATCAAAATAAATTGTTTACGGGGGGGAAAAAAAGCAGCCCGTCCTATCGATGCTTGCAGCACAAGCCTCTTTGCACCCCTTGTGCCACTGATGTGCTCCTCAGGTCTAAGTGGCACTGGACAGTAGACTTGCAAGGGGAGGAAAATCCAGGAGGCACACAGTTATCACGGAGCTCCCCATTTGTCTGGCATTCTCATAGTCTGAATTTCCATGAGTAGAGAACAATGCCATTGAAGAGTTCGTGGAAGAGGAAAATTACTAACATTTGTACACTATGGCTAAAGAAAGCCCCGGTTCATCAATTTAAACTGACACTTAAGTATCACAGAGATAAAGGAAGCTCCCTCCTCAAGCAGTGTAGGACCATACCCAATAACATGAATAGAAGTTTAATGAAATCAAAATTGTGACCTCAACACACAAGAAGCACCTTTTAAGCACTGTACCCAACTGCCTCCGATATTCATTTGGGTTTCTATAACACAAGTTAGCCTCCACTTAAGCCCACCTATCATCATGTTTAAGCTACTAAAATAGAAAATTACTTCCTTCACTGATCCTCTGCTTGCCTCAGTTCAAGTGGTCACTGCTGCTCTTACCCATTGATATCATCTCTTAACTTTCTTTGTGGTATCTATTTGTCATAAAGAATATTGGCTTTAAAAGCCTGGGATTCTGCCTCTATTATTATTGTCTAAGTAACTCAACTCAGAAAGCCTGTTTACTTACCCAGGTAATATGGGTATCAACAGTACCTATAAGATCAGTAAATGCTTAAGAAAGGTGGACTACTATGATAATAATTATCCTAATTCTTACTATGTAGTAGTATACAGACATACATATTCACTTCCAAAATATGATAAGGACTATATAAGGAGTGTCTAAATGTTATTACATATATTAGTTCACATATAGTTTTTCTTAATATATTTTGGTATATATCTTATAATATCTTGACCACAAAAATCTATTGCTTTCTTGATTCTAAATCACATTCAAATTTATAAATAGGTGGTATTAATTACATAACAAAACTGTATCAATATGTAAGCATTTTACTTATAAAATCATAACAATAATAGCTTACATGTATTGGCTATATGCTACATAATTGCATGCATGATCTTATATCCTTACTATTACTTTGTGAGCTGGGTAATATTATTATGTGCATGCTATAAAAAAGGAAACTGAGGTTTAGAGCAATTAAATCTTTCTCAAGGACGTATAACCAATAATTGCCAGATCTGAGATTTAAAATCTGGTCTTTCTGTCTCTAGAGTCTATAAACTTAATCTACACTAAGTAATCTATAAAATTGTATTTCTGAGTGTGTGGGTACAATGACAGTCTGCAATTAATAACCCAGCTTTTCACTATCAGGCAATTACCTCCAGCAGCCAGAATACTTCTGGTTCAGATACTATACTATTAACAGATGGGGAAGATGGATGTGTATGTGTAGGGGGGTTGGGGGAGTGGGGGGGGTGTGGGTGTGTGTGTAAATCTTGAGAAAGACTGTGCACTACTTACTCTATTTAGCAAATGACAGACTTGGAATTTACTCTCATAGTATCTAACACCAAAGCTCTTAATTAATACTCTTAACAGAAGTCAGGGAAAAGAGAAAAAATATTTGTATTTACTGATAAACTTATAAACTTGCTTCTTCATGGCAAGTCAAAGGTTTTATTCCCTGGGAAATGTTAAGATTCTGTAGCAGAGACTAAATAAAATGCATTAAAAAGGCACATACCATATCATTTAACCTTGCCCACACACTTTTGGTCATGACTGATCAGTCCTGGAATGTAAGGTAACTGAAGAGAAGAGTCTCAGAGGGAATAAAAGGTTAATGTGGCAGAGAAACAAAATGGAGTTTACTTGGCCAGTGCCCACTTTCAGTAATGACAGCAGCCAATATTCACTGAGTACTTACTCTGTGTCAGGAATTGTTCTAAGTGCTTTATTCTTCCTCTTTTGGGTAATAGGAATATTTGAGAGACCTAAGAAGTGTTAAGAGTCTAGCTTTGAAAATCTACACATTACACAATTGATGAATGGGTTAAGAAAATGTGGTATTTATATATAACAGAATTTTATTCAGCCACAAAGAATAAAATTTTGTCATTTTCAGGCAAATGAATGGAACTGGAAAACATCATTTTGACTGGAGTTAGACAGTTTCAGAAACCAAAGGCTGCATTTTTTTCTCATGTGTGGAATATAGGCCCAATACAAATATAAACAATATTATATATACATAGAAAGATACATGCATCCAAAAGTAGGTCTGGTAGAGGAGACCATGGGAGGAGACCAAAGAAGGAAAAAAAGATAATAAATAATAATGAAGTATATCACATCTATGTAGAAACAGGACACAAAGAAACACACTGGAAACTGTTAAGCAACACAGGATAGGGAAAAAAGGGGAAGGAAGTTCAGTGGAGGGAGGTTATATTGACTTAAGCACAATGCATGCACAGGTATAATACCAAGACAAAAGTCCCACTAAACAACAAACAGACACCTAAACAATGAAGGAGAAGAATGAAAAACAGGTCACACGTAGGGGAGGGAGCCAATGGGAAAGGGAGGGTAAAAGAAGGAAGTTAAGAAGGTGAATATGGTTGATGTACTTTCTATTCAAGAACGAATATAGAATGTTTAAACCTGTTGAAATCACCATAAGAAGACTACAAAGGTAGAAAGGAGAGAGATGGAGGGGATGAACCAATTCAGGATACAATACACACATAAACAGAAATGTCACAATGAAATTCTCTGTATAGATATCTTAAACAAACAAAAATGTCTTTCTTTCAGAAATGGACAACAGAAAGGTAAAACAGGTGCTGTCTGGGGACAAGTATCAGTGGGAGAGGGGGAGATATACGGAAAGGGTTAGGAGGGTGAATATGGTGGAAATACTATGTATAAAAATGGAAAAATGAGACCTGCTGAAACTGTTCCAGAATGGAGGTAGGGGTGTAACGGAGAATGACGGAGGATGCTAATTTAGCTAAGTTATAGTGTAAGCACTTTTGTGAACATCACAATGTTCCCCCAACAGTAATATGACAATAAAAAAATAACTATAAACACACACAGAAAAAGAAAATCTGCACATCATACTCATTTTCATATGCCACCTCAGCCTGGAATGATAATGCAAAAAGTTTCCTTTTGTTTACTCTGAGGTATAAGACTAAAGAGTTCTCAGACTAAAAAGCAAGTTTTTTCTTACTTTAAATTTATTCAGAAATGACCTTCTGTAATTAATAACCTAACTTCTCATCATCAGGCAATTATCTACAGTAACCAGACTACTTTTGGTTGTGAAATCATACTGCTAACAGATGGAGAAGATAATGGTATAAGTTCATGCTTTGAGGAGATCAAACAAAGTGGTGCAATTATCCACACTATTGCTCTGGGACCTGCAGCTGCCAAAGAGCTAGAGACCCTATCAACTATGACAGGTAAAGCTTTGGAACATAGTTTTAATAGAAAATAAATTTTTAGTCCCTCTCATAGCAGGGGTTTTCTCCAAAAGCTGTAAAGCTGCTCAAAAATTTTCTATAATAAAATTAATTTTTGTCCCTTCCTTCTTCAAATTAAGCTCTGTCCCTACTCCTCCATTTCTTCACATATCAGCTTCTCAAATCATTCGGTATATGCTGTCTTCATTCACTCGTCACCCACTTTCTGTTAATATATACTAAACAGAAACTTCTTTCTCTATGGTTACTCACCTTCAAGTCCATAATTACTATTCAATTTCAAAATACCATTCAATACCACAGTAAAGATTTAGACATCCCTATTTTCTAGATGCAAAAATGGAAACCTAGAGACTAGAAATGATTTGCCCAAGACCATAGTTAGAGCCATGAAGGCTAATTCAAACCTCTTTCCATGGTCCCACTCTGCTTCCACCAAATCTCACTAAACCTAATTTGGGATATTTCTGTATTTCCCCAGTTCTACTACCACATCCTAATCCAGTCTTCACAAATCCCTGCCTGGGCTACTTCAATCACCTTCCAGTTGGCCTTTCTGCTGTTTATTAGTTTGATTGATCTATATTGATTGTCATATTTCTGGCAGTCACTTGTGTTAATTCTTACCCACTGAAATCTATCCACACTTCTCACATTCAAGTAATCTCTTTTCCTTAACTTCTGTATTACTTATTTTCTGCACTTAATCAATTTTTACTTTATTCTAAACTTTCATTCTGATTGCCTTGGTGTGTTTTTGACCTAACTAGAAAACAGGCAGCTGATTTATAGGAACTGTTTTAAATTTCATTTTGTAACATTATTTAGTACTCACACCAGTTTTATTAATGTGACACGAACTTACATTTGATGATAGATTGATTTTTAAAAAGAAAGATAACATGACCTATTCTTTAAATTTTCATTTACTCTTACTTCTTTTCAGTTAAGGTTTTAGTTATTGTAGGATTATTGTTAGGACACTGATACTCAGAAAGTCTTTAAGGTTCTTGGAAACTTATCTTTTGTTAGAGTTTAAAAAGAAATACTAAGTAGATTTTAAAGCATATTAATGATAGCACAACAAATATGATTTTCCCATTTATAACTCTATTTTAGGAGGACATCGTTTTTATGCCAATAAAGATATAAATGGCCTCATTGATGCTTTCAGTAGAATTTCATCAAGAAGTGGCAGCATCTCTCAGCAGGCTCTTCAAGTGAGTATATTAAGAAAATGATTTGCTTTCTCACAGTGGCAATAAATTCTTATTATCCTAATGATTAGCCTTTTATCTCTAATGAATAAATCTCTTGCCTAAGAATATTTCAGTTGTGCAAAAGAAAAACATCCGTATTGAATTTGATTTTCCATGACACAGACACATTTTCTGTTGCTTCTATTCTTTATAACTATATATAATTTTTATTTGTAAAGTTCTTTAATTCTTATTTCAATTGAAATCTTAAAAACAAACTTAAAATTAATCTGAACTGACTAAATTTTGATGTTCTATTACCTACAATAACAGATGGGTTTTCTGTGTCTGTTTTTATTTATGTAACAGTTGGAGAGTAAAGTCTTGAATATTACAGGGAAGAAATGGATAAATGGTAAAGTGTCTGTGGATAGCACCATTGGAAATGACACATTCTTTGTTGTCACCTGGACAATGCAAAAGCCAGAAATTATTCTTCAAGATCCAAAAGGAAAACAATATAAAACCTCAGATTTCAAAGAGGATAAGCTAAATATTCAGTCTGCCCGTCTTCGAATACCAGGCATTGCAGAGGTGGGAATATTCTTTTATTTTCACCGTGTTTTATTCATTAATTCCTGCATTAAAAATAAAGATGTCTTGTACACTGTCAATATTAAACAGTGACAAACAGATCATTTGTCATAAAGATGAGTTAAATAGACTATGTAGAAATTCACACCCATATCATTTACAAGCTGTAAAATCAGATATTAAAAATCATTATTGGGGCTGGGGGTGTGGCTCAGCAGAACACTTGTCTAACAAGTTGAGGGTTCCATCCTCAACAGCACAAAAATCATTATAACTGTTTAAACTTTCAAGAAAGTTTATATCCTAAGCAAAGAGTAAGAAAATATTAACAAAAGTTTAAAAAGAGTTATTTTTTTCAGACAGGTGCTTGGAGTTACAGCCTTTTAAACACTCACGCCAAACCTCAGTTGCTAACAGTGACAGTGACCACACGAGCGAGAAGTCTTACCACACTCCCAGTGGTTGCAGCTGCTCACATGAGACAGAACACGGCTCGGTACCCCAGCCCAGTGATTGTCTATGCACAAGTCAGCCAAGGGTTTTTGCCTGTTCTGGGAGTCAATGTAACAGCCATCATAGAAACTGAAGGCGAGCATCAAGTAGCACTGGAGCTCTGGGACAATGGTGCAGGTAAACTTCCACTGGACTTAAAAATCTTCTAGGGGGTTCCATGAGTAAGCCATGGGGTATGTAGCTTATGCACATATTTTCAAGTGAATTGATTTTAGTTGCATCTTGACAAAACGGATGTAAGGACATTAATCTTCCTTAAATTTCATGAACAATTTTACTTTTCCAGTGGAACTTGAGTTCCATTTTTTTTCCATTTTCATTAACATCAGTGTTTCACATATAATTTCCCTTCTAGTTATATTTCCCTTCTTTTGATAAATTTCTCTTGTAAAATAATAGTAACAGCAAATATCAACTGAATGCCTACTATGAATTAAACTTTTTCCAATATCACGGGATTAGCATGTGGGCAAGCCAAGGCTTGAACCAATACAGTTGAATTATTAAGTTCATGTACTTTAAACTGTGCTAAACTTCCTCCCAAATTGCTGACATCACAGCACAAATGGACAGTCATAATTGCCATTTTTTACTTACTGAATGACTAATTATTACATCAATATCAAGGTGCTGATACTGTCAAGGATGATGGCATCTACTCAAGATATTTTACAGATTACCATGGAAATGGTAGATATAGTTTAAAAGTACGTGCCCAGGCAAGAAAAACCACAACTAGACTAAGTTTAAGACAACAGAACAAGTCTCTATATATACCTGGCTACATTGAAAATGGTAAGTAGCATTAAAAAAGAAATAGACAGTTGCTTAGGTAAGCTGCATATGACAAACACTGAAATATATATAATGTGCCATGGACAATCTAAGTATATGATTATGTAATCGTCTGTAAGTTTCAAAACATACTAGTGGATCTAGCATAAGCTACATTTTTACATGCTTTGTGAACATCTCCTTGGGTTTATTTTGTTTACAATGAAAAATTTGTACTAACCATCTCCTTTGGGGCATGTACAATGCTAGATGCTAGAGCTACAAAAATGAATAAACAGAATCTTTGTCCTCAAAGAATTTCTAGTCATGTAATAGAGAAAGGTAGGGTAAAAGATGTTTTAACACAGCATAATGTCTCCTCATTCATTTCAAAATATTAAAACAAGCCTTTTTTTCACTAAAAGCTATCACTTTCAATGTCTGCTATCAATCAACATTACCCCTCTACAGATGCAAGATGAGCTGACAAGATAAATACACAGGACAATACATAAGAATAACAAAATTACTCTTTTTTTCTGGGTAGGTAAAATCACACTGAACCCACCAAGACCAGAAGGGAAAGGAAACCTGGCAGCAGCTGACCTAGAAGACTTCAGCAGACTCACCTCTGGAGGGTCATTCACTGTGTCAGGAGTGCCCCCTACTATTAACCATGCTCATGTGTTCCCACCCAATAAAATTGCAGACCTAGAGGCTGTATTTAAAGGGGATCATATTCAACTTTCATGGACTGCCCCTGGCAATGTCCTTGATAAAGGAAAAGGTAAGCTTGATATTGTTTAAATATTTTCAAATATTCTGAAAGAATCCCTTTTGTTTGCTAAGAAATTTCTAATGTCCCATTTATAATAACATTTATGGAGTGTCTTAACTATAGGCCTTTATTCATTTATTTTCAGATGTGAAAAATGAAGCTCAAAAGATATGAATTGGCCCAAGCTATTTCTATATTTAGTAACTTAGAATTCTAACCCAGTCTTGTCATATTCTGTTGTTCCAAACTGCCCCCAATCTGAACCATTCTGAAATTTCTTGAAGACTGAATAACAGCTTTCCATTGTGTCATTTTGTCACTGACAAGGGATATTTTTCTATTTCTGTACTGTCACAATTTTATTCATTTATTTTTGCGTTTTCAAACAGTATTAGTTTCTAGAAACAATCTCTACTCTTAATAAGCCCATGATGTATAGAAGACACACCAGTGGACAGATAATTTCATACAACATAGTAAGAGACAGGCTTTTGTAAACATGGAGTGAAATTGTAGCTCATAGTTGGGACACAGACTTCCTTCCAATGGAGGGGTAAAACCATGGGCTTTATATCTTTTTTTTTTTTTTGGCAGTACCGGGGCTTGCTAGGTACTATACCACTTGAGCCACTCCCCCAGCCCTGTTTTGTGTTGGATATTTTCAAGATAGGGTCTGGAGAACTATTTGCCCAGGGCTGGCTTCAAACCACGATCCTCCTGAGCTCTGCCTCCTGAGTAGCTAGGATTTCAGGTGTGAGACCCTGGGGCCTACCTAGCTTACATCTAAAAGGAATCCTGGAAGAGGCAATCTCTGACCGGGTCTTGAAGAATGAGAGTAGTTAGCCAAGCAGGAGAAGATGTCCCGCGGAGAGAGGTGCTGTTCACATGTGCAGAAACTCACTGGTTTCACAGATTTGGCCATGAACTCTGAGTAAAGCCCAAGGCTAAAACATTTCATTTATTCAAAGTTCCCAATGCTAAATTACCTACTTCCAAAAAATTTAAATCACCTCTTCTTTGCTTTAAATTTCAATTGGCTATTTGTTTTATTATTTAAATTGAATCAGTTATTTATTGAATAATTGCCATATTTCAGTATTGTGTAGACTAGCAGATTCTTATGGGATAAAGCTGGTCTTGTTTTGCCTTTAAGGTAGGAAAATTAAAGCACTGTGTGACATTGATAAAATATTTCAAAAATTTACAGCCTGAAACACCACATTATCAAGTCTCTTTTCCTGGATTACAGTAAACCCCTGATTCTCTCAAGAAAAACGACGCCTTTTAGCCTTTCACTCGCTATATAGCAATTCCAAAGCTCTGTTTGTTTTTGCCATAATACAAGATCTCTTAGAAGCCAGAGGAAACATAGAACAGCCGCAAACAGATCTTTTATACTTCAATGTTGAAAACTCTTATGGTGACAGCTTCTGAAATACATTTTTTTCTCATGATTTTTAAACATATGGCAGAGTCAAATAAAATGCCAGCAAATACATGACCAAGACTTCATGAGAAGTTGGTTGGGCCTTGCAAAATGAGTAAAATTTGGTTATATGGGGAAAGAGAGGAATACTGCAGGGGAAAGGAACTAAGTAATATGATCCAGGTCAGGAAAGCAAAACTAGTGGGGCATGGTAACTCATGCCTGTAATCCTACCTACTAGAGATCAGAAGAATAGTGGTTTGATGCCAGCCAGAGCAAGTTACTGAGATCTCACCTCAACAAATAAACTGGGTATGGTAGTGCATGCCTGTAGTTCCAGCTACACGGAAGACAAAGACAAGAGTATCATGGTCTGAGGACAGCATAGGCAAAAGCAAGACCCTACCTGAAAGATAACCTAAAAGCAAAAAGGGCAGGTGGCATGACTCAAGTGGTAGAGAGCTTACCTAGCTCTCTACCACCCAAAGTACCACCAAAGAAAGAAAGAAAGCAAAGTTTTGCAATGGGATATTTGAATTAAAGTACGAGATAGATGATGGATAGATAGATAGATAGATAGATAGATAGATAGATAGATAGATTCACTAAATAGAACACAGGCGTTATGTGAATGATGATAGAAAGGACTAATAAGGATATCTATGGAGAAAATAAATATTAAGTAGGAGGCTGGACTTAGAAAAAAACTAAATCAAAGTTACTTAGCACATACTTGAAACCATAAACTACAAAGGCTTCATACCAAAAAAGGCCTTACATGTTTTGATCTCATGTTTCAGAATGTGAGGACATCACACCTGCTAGGCAGATTATGACTTGAGCCACTCCACCAGCCCTATTTGTTTTTTCAGATAGGATTTTTCAGATAGGATCTCTCACTTTTTTACTGGCTGGCAGCAGACTACAGTGCTCCTGCCTATGCCTCCCATGTAGCTGAGATTACAGTCATGAAATACCACACCTATTTATTTGTTGAGATCAGGTCTCACTAACTTTTTGCCTTGGCTGGCCTCCAACCACAATTTTGATCTCTACCTCCTGAGTAGCTGGGATTACAGATGTGGGTCATATGGCCAGCTAGAAGATATTTTTATATCTATAATCCTGGTAGATTTCTAAAATTAGTGTGGAATGAAGCATTTATGTAGGTTTCCTCTTTTCCTCTCTTGACAAAATAATAGTTACAATAGCTAACATTTCAAACATTTGTTCATTTAATACTTATTAAATTGTGCTAAGCACTTTACATGCATTATCATTTATCATTCTTACCACTAGAATTGTAGGCATTCAATAAATATTTGTTGAATGAACTGAATGATTAAATCTATTTTACAAATAAAAAACTGGAGATAAGAAATGCTAAATAAATTTTTCTAGATTCTGGGGTGGGGGGGTTGGTGCTCTATGATAATGAATTTAAATTTTCTATGATTAGATAACTACATTTTTTATTATTTCTTTTATTTATATTTGCATACAATGTTTGGGTCATTTCTCCCCCCTTCTCCCACTCCCTCCCTCACCCCCCTGCCCCTCCCTCTCCCTCCTACCCCCTCGCTACCAGGCAGAAAATATTCTGCTCTTATCTCTAGTTTTGTTGAAGAGAGAGTATAAGCAATAATAGGAAGGAACAAGGGTTTTTGCTAGTTGAGATAAGGATAGCTATATAGGGAGTTGACTCGCATTGCTTTCCTGTACATGTGTGTTACCTTCTAAATTAATTCTTCTCGCAGTAACCTTTTCTCTAGTTCCTGGTCCCCTTCTCCTATTGGCCTCTGTCATTTTAAAGTATCTGCATTAGTTTCTCTGTGTTGAGAGCAACAAATGCTATATAGTTTTTTGGGTGTCTTACCTATCCTCATACCTCCCTTGTGTGCTCTTGCTTTTATCTTGTGATCAAAGTTCAATCCCTTTGTTGTGTTTGCCCTTGATCTAATGTCCGCATATGAGGGAGAACATACGATTTTTGGTCTTTTGGGCCAGGCTAACCTCACTCAGAATGATGTCCTCCAATTCCATCCATTTACCAGCGAATGATAACTTTTTGTTCTTCTTCATGGCTGCATAAAATTCCATTGTGTATAGATACCACATTTTCTTAATCAATTCATCAGTAGTGGGGCATCTTGGCTGTTTCCATAACTTGGCTATTGTGAATAGTGTTGCAATAAACATGGATGTGCAGGTGCCTCTGGAGTAACCTGTGCCACAGTCTTTTGGGTATATCCCAAGAATGGTATTGCTGGATCATATGGTAGATCAATGTTTAGCTTTTTAAGTAGCCTCCAAATTTTTTTCCGGAGTGGTTGTACTAATTTGCATTCCCACCAGCAGTGTATAAGGGTTCCTTTTTCCCCACATCCTCACCAACACCTGTTGGTGGTGGTGTTTTTGATGATAGCTATTCTAACAGGGGTGAGGTGGAATCTTAGTGTGGTTTTGATTTGCATTTCCTTTATGGCCAGAGATGGTGAGCATTTTTTCATGTGTTTTTTGGCCTTTGAATTCTTCTTTTGAGAAAGTTCTGTTTAGTTCACTTGCCCATTTCTTTATTGGTTCATTAATTTTGGGAGAGTTTAGTTTTTTGAGTTCCCTATATATTCTGGTTATCAGTCCTTTGTCTGATGTGTAGCTAGCAACTATTTTCTCCCACTCTATGGGTGTTCTCTTCAGTTTAGAGACCATTTCTTTTGTTGAGCAGAAGCTCTTTAGTTTTATGAAGTCCCATTTGTCTATGCTATCTCTTAGTTGCTGAGCTGCTGGGGTTCCACTGAGAAAGTCCTTTCCTATACCTATTAGTTCTAAAGTATTTCCTACTCTTTCCTGTACCAACTTTAGAGTTTTGGATCTGATATTAAGATCCTTGATCCATTTTGAGTTAATATTGGTATAGGGTGATAAACATGGATCTAGTTTCAGTTTTTTGCAGACTGCTAACCTAGATAACTACATTTTTCAAAACTGTTCATACTCTGCTGTTAAAGAAGTTGGGGTAGATAGACAAAAACTCTGTTTGTGATTTCCACAACTAATCCACAGTGTGCATTTCTGATAGACTCTAAAAATAAGTCATCCTAGTGACTGACAAACACTATGCATCTCCTTGCTTTCCAGCTGACAGCTACATTATACGAATCAGTACACATTTCCTGGATCCCCACAAAGATTTTGACAATGCTACCTTAGTGAATACTTCTGGTCTGATACCTAAGGAGGCTGGCTCAAAAGAACACTTTGAATTTAAGCCAGAACATTTCAAAATTGAAAATGGCACCAAGTTCTATATTGCAATTCAAGCCAACAATGAAGGCAATCTCACCTCACAAGTTTCCAACATTGCACAAGTAACCAAGTTCACTGAGTCACCAGAACCCAGTGTCCCTGCTCTGGGTACCAAGATTTCTGCAATCAGTTTGGCAATTTGGGGATTAGTGGTGATTCTATCTACATTTTAAACTAGAAATTGTATTAGAACTGAAATTCAATGTTATGTATACTTAGTAAACACCTATTTAAAATTAACTTAAAATTAATTTACTCTACTTATTGTCTACTATGAAACTTTACAATATAAAAGTGAATACACTAAGTTATAAATTTCCTAATTATTTAACATTAACTTACTAAATGTAAATCAAAATGACTCGTTTTCTATCTTTAAACAATTCATTCAATTAATGAAACCTGTTGAAATTGTTTATGAGGAGAGGGGGAAGAAGGAGAATGGTGGAGGGGATAGATCTAATTAGAATATATTATAAACACATATGTAAATGATGTCACAATGTAATCCCCCTCTATAAATATTATATGCTAATAAAAACGTGAGGCAATCCCCAGAGGTTATGTAGTACACTATTCTATTTCTATGCTAAAAAATTCATTCATTGATTTTTTTTATTGCTGTTCTTGTTTTGTTGTCTTTTCTTATGGTGCTAAAGATTAAACTCAGGGCCTTGCACATGCTAGAGAGCTCTGCCGCTGGGCTACATTCCTGGCCACCATTCATAATAAGAAAAGTAAATAGATACTTGTATTTATGGGCCTCTTAAGAAACATTTTTAGAGTATGCCACAAATTCATTTAATGTTAACAAAATCAAAATTTATACAAATCACTTGAAAACTATCTATGTATAGTCAATAATAAATAATTTTATAGTAAAATTATTTATATGCCATGATTGATTATGAATTAATATTTCAGGTTTACAACTATACTCAAAAAGGACTATCAAGATAATTTCTTAATGAAAAACAATCTAAAGTGGTAAAGAGCTGAAATTTGTTTTTGTGATTGATTAAAAGTGTTCTATGAAAGTTTCAGCCCTAGACTTGAAATGACAGCAGGAATGCTTTTTTGTATAAAGTATATAGCATCACAATACAGCTCTAGTTCTATTCTGAGACCATCACTAGGCATTAAGAGCATTACCAAGATGTTCCAGTAGGACAGGGATTTTTTTCACTGCTGTATCATTTGCATCTAGAACAGCATTTGATATGTAGTAGATATTCAATAATTATTTGTAAATAGCTAATTAATATTTATACCCTCAAAAGAAACCCAGGGCTGGTGGAATGGTTCAAGTAATAGAGCATCTGCCTAGCAAGTGTGAGACCCTGAGTTCAAATCCCAGTATTGCCAAAACACAATTTTAAAAAAGAAATCCAAATGTGACACAATTACATCAAAAATATCCATACAATATCATGTGCATATGGTATTGTAAGGACTTGATATAATAAAAACTAACCACTCAATAACATTGATTTAAACCAAAAAAGTTCCTGAAAATTAATCACCTCAATAGAATTTATAAGCTATACAAAAAATGTAAATTAAGCTAATAATTTTGCAATGGTGTGATTTTCTGAGAGAAGGAGTTATGTTGGAGGAAAGTCCTTTATAGACAAGATTTCAAAAACTTTTTTGAATATCTTAAAGGAAAAAGCTATATGAGATCATAAACATCAGCAAACTAAATCTAGATGAATACATGAAAATCAATATCATGACCAAGTTGAATTTATCCCAGGTATTCCAAGATGATTTTATATTAGAAAATCACTAATTTTTACCATATTAAAATTTTTTAAAGAAATTTATATGGTCATTTCAATATATTCAGAAAAGTGTATTATAATTCAACCACCATTCTTCATTCAAAATAAAACCTTTGAAAACTACTAAGCTTGACTCATTTAAAAATAAACAAAAAGGGACATCAAATCTTCAAGAAGAAATGAGAAGACATCCAAAAATGAGAATCCTAAATTCCTAGAAAAATAAATTACTTAGAAGTCTATAAATCATAAAAACTATTGTTAATCATGAAAGCCTTACAGAGTTAGGATGTAGTTAATTTATTCTCCTATACATGGATACCTACTGAATGATTTATAGAACTTTAGCTCTATAAAAAGTAATGTTCCTTTGAAATAAGAAAAAACAAGTAGAATAATTGGAAAGATATAGAAAATGCAGTTATTTACAGATGATAATTAAAACTCCAATAGAATTAAGAAACAAAACTAGTGAGTTCTGAAAAATCACCAGACACAAGTTCAATAGGGTTGATCAGTAGTACTAGTATGACTCATAAAGAGCTTAGAAGTCCTCACTCTCATCCTCACAACAAGAAAAAATAAGCTGAACTGAAAATCAACGATTGTTCTTAGATTCATCAGAGAATTGAAGCCACACTACAACCGATAAATTGGAAAGACAATCAAAAATGTAGAATCACAGCTTAGCAGGAGCAGAAGCCTGCCAGTGAGACCAATAGCAGCAGGAATACTTAAACAGTAAAAGATGAATTGCCAGACACTCAGTGTGAACGAGCCTGAGAATTAAGAATTTACTTCAAGAAGCCTCACCAGGTTCTCAAAATGAGAACTAGAGAAAAATCTCAGAATTTTGACAAGAGAGAGGAAGTAGTAATGAAGTCATGATTTAGAAATATGCCCATAGCATTTGATTCTCCTTAACAACAGCGTGCCCCCAAGGAGCCAAACTGATTTAGGTTAGTTAGTTCCTAAACAACCTGGGAGAAGGGAAATACGAACTCTCATCTCCCCTAGTCTTCCATGTGGGAGAAGAAAATATTCAACTTCTCACCAAAGGTAACAGGTGCTGGAAAACAGTTGTGAAAGCAACTGCCCAGAGAATTAAGCACACTAAAAGATGCTTTACACACACACACACACACACACACACACACACACACACACCCCTTTCCACAATTTCAAAAGGGTCTTGTATATGAACTGAAGATTACAGATGAAAGAATTAGAAACCTCAAACCCAGTTCAAGTTCCATTGTCTAGGGAAACTCAAAGACAGCCAAAGAATCAAGAACCAGTACACTAGAAGGAATTTTGCTGTACCTAAAGCTACAGCAAACATTAAACACAGCCTAACTTCTAACAATGTAACATAAAACCTCACACTAATAACCCATTTACCACAGTTCATTTTATCCAATATATCATGTCTGGCTTTTGACAAAAACAAAAATATATAAGGCATACTAAAACTTAAAAAAAAAAATCCAAAGAGAAAAAAAAAAAAACCATAAAGACCACACTCAGATATGCAAGAAATTTTGGAATTATCAGACAGAAAATTTAAAATAACTATGATTAATATGGTAAAATCTCTCACGGAAAAAGGGAATAGCATGCAAAATTGGAGACATGGGTATGTAAAGAGAGACATAGAAATACTTAAAGAAAAAAACAAAATGAAATGTTGGAAATAAAAAACATTGCAGGGTTGGAAGCATAGCTTAAGTGGTAGAGCACATACCTAGCAAACATGAAGCCCTTAGTTCAAACCCCAGTACCACCTAATAAATTAAAAAACATTGTAAAAGAAATGAAGAATACCTTTGATAGGCCATCATTAGAGTAGATGCACCTGAGGGAAAAAAAATCCATAAGCTTAAAGATACATACACAGAAACTTCTAAAACAGAAAGAAATGAAAAGATGAAATAGGCTACTCAAGAACTGTGAGACAATTACAAAAGGAATAATATACAAGAAATAACAGCAATAGGAGGAGATGAAAAAGAAACAGAATAAATATTTTTTGAAATAATACCTGAGAATTTTCCAAATTAGTGATAAACATCAAAAGATAAACATCCAAGAAACTCAACACCAAACATAATAAACACCTAAAAGCCTAAACCTAGGCCTATCATAGTCAAACTTGTAAAATCTTGGAAAATAAATAAATAATAGAGAAGTGAGAACAAGAATTATATCAGACTTCTCTTCAGATCATGCAAGCAAGAAGAGAGTAAAACGGATATTGAAAGTGTTGAAAGAGAGCTGGCTGGGGTGATGCACACAAATATCCCACAAGATGGGAGGCTGAGACAGGAGGATTGTAAATTTGAGGTCAGCCTGGACTACATAGCAAGACCCTATCTCAAAAAACAAAGAAAAAAAATGGTGAAAGAAGAACCACCAATATGGAATTCTGCATGGAGCAAAGTTATTCTTTTAAAAGTGAAGGAAAATTAAAATTTTCTCAGACAAACAAATTTTGAAGAAATTTATATCTTTGGTAGACCTGCCTTGGAAGAAACATTGTGTAGGGCATCCCTCAAGATGGTCTCCAGTGGGAAAAAAATGTGGCTAAGGTAGGAAATCAGCTCTGCTAAGCTCAGTGACCTCCTTGAGACACTGGAGCCATACTTGGGTAATTCTAATTGTTCCTAGCTAAAATAATAACCACCATCACATTAGGTGCAGATAAAATTCAAAGACTGACCCTTAAATCAGCCTTTAATTGCACCTAAAAGGTGCAAAAAACCCAGCTGACACAGACAGCAAGGCACGTCCAGCTCTGGCCCTGGGGAAAAAAATCCCCGGCAGCTTCTCTTTTCTTTTTTTTTTTTTTTTCTTTTCATTCTTCTCCCAACAAGCAAGAGATAGAGCATCAATCAGGAACTATGAGGAAAGAGTGATAGAAGAGGAGATCTCCCCAAGAGCAGGCCAGAGGCCAGGTAAAATATCACTCTAGGGGCTGGCCAAATATGCCCCAAACAATAACTTTGTCATTGGACTGGGAACTGAAAGAGAAAGGTAAGATAGAGAAATGGGCTCCACTGTCTAGTAGGAAAATGACCTTTCACTTTTCTGCCATTATGGCTACCCCAAAGCTCCTCAACATTGATCCCAAGAAGTGGAGCATGGACAGGAGGCCAGGACCCATCAATCCATAGGAGGTGCAACCTCGCCTTCCATCTGGAAACAGGGGGCATTAGACCTCCAGTGGTTACCTTTGCAGAGAGGGCAGGGTCCTGGTTGGAGGCAGGGCTGTCTCCTGGGCTGTCCCCGCTTTTGAGAATTCTCTGCAGAAGTGCTCCTCCTGTCCACAGATATAAGAGCTAGGGATGCAGACCCCAGTCAGGTGGGGCCTTCTCTGAGAGCTGCGATGA